ATAGTTTGTGTCGAGTGGACGTTAAACCCCATTTCTCTCTCTCTCTCTCTCTCTTCAGTGTATTCGCGCATTTTACACGTAGCATTTGAAGCTTGTCTAACAGAATGAATGAGGGATTCCATTACACCATTCGTGTGACTGGCGTAAGGTATATTCCAATCCCATTGGAACTGCAAGTTACGTCCATATTTTTGTGTTATCACATTTTTGACTTTGTTAATGTTCCCAGTCTTTCATTATTTCTGTGAGTCAATGAAATTAGTTCCTTGGTCGGACCATAAACATTTGGCTTGACCTCTTATACACGAAAATCTACGATATGCCATGTGGAATGTGTCTGCGCTTTTGTCGGTAACAAGTTCAAGATGTATTGCTCTTGACGTCATACAGGCGAATATTATAACTTTAGCCTCTTTAAGAGTTTTTCGTTCTAACTTGATTTGAACTGGACCGAACATATCAAGCGCGGTGTTGTAAAATGCTGGAAATCCTGCAGCTACTCTGAGGTCTGGTAGCTGTCCCATTAGCTGTTTTTCTAGCTTTCGATGCAGTTTTCTACACGTAAAACAGTTTCTTAGAGAGTTAGCGGTATTCCATAATCCGAAAATCCAAATATGTTTACTAGCTTCTGCTATGAGACTTTATAGCCACTTAATGTCCACGCCTCTCGTCCAGATGAATTAGTAGTAAATTCACAAATTTGTGATCCTTTGGTAAAATGAATAAAAATGGGACATTGGTCAAGATTTGTATCGTTATCAAAACTTAATAACTGATATCTTAATCATACTTGAATAATTAATAATACAACAAACAAATACGTTCCCAAAAGATGGTCGTATTTTCAACACTTTATAGAAAACTCGGGAAATTTTCGCGTGATTAGGCCCAGGCCCATAACTTAATAGGGGGGGGGGGGGGCGTCAGATAAAGCCTGCTGGTTCTTCATAAAACACCTTTGGTGCAGTTATAACACGCTTTCGAGAAAACTCACAAACTCACCCGTCCGTTAATTAACACACCCAGTACACCCTAGCGATAATTAAAACAACTTTCAGTCAATTTCACACCACTAGCCTCTTCGTATTCATAATATATGTATTGTATGTGATAAAATAAAGTCCTCTCCCTTAATAAAAAAAATGTTCTCTCTTATAGCAATGGATCGACCGGTGTCTTATCACCTAGCAGGTGTGGGCTCTCAGCTATTCTCTCTGACTGTTATAAATTTAGGGTGCTTTAATTTCTAGAGTATATCCTAATTTACGCACAAATTTAATAGCCTTCGGCAATCTTACCAATTCTTCAAAAATAATGTAAATTCAACATACAGCGCCAAAAAGTGCTCCCTACCTAACCATTTGAGAACAAATTTATGCATCTCCCATCCCTGATTAGTGACCCAGTGCCTTACTCACTGAGACACTGCGACTCTCCCGTAAACAAACAGACATAATATACTATTCAAAAAAAGTAGGGGATATTTGATTTTGGGGGCATAATACTAAAATATGCAAATGACTACGAAAAAAGTCACTATAGAACCTAACAGAAGAAACATTTCCAGTTACATGTGACGCCCAAACGCACCAATAGCTACCGCATGGAATGCAGGTGATGCTTGGGATCATCATGGGGGTCCAACCCAAGATTTGCACGACTCTGACTTTGAATGTTACAGTCATTGTGGCATTGAATTCCAGGGTGGAAACATCAGTTTAATTGTTTTAGTGACCAGAAAACAAATTTTGATATGCGTCGGCTTTCCCAAAATGAAAGGTTACGTGCCCTTGGCATGCTACAGATCGGCACAACACAGGCGGTTGTGGCGCGGACGATGAATGTTTCTCAGTCTGTCATAAGCAGGCTATGGTCCAGATACCGTGATACACAATCTGTACAGGACCACGCTCAGGTCGACCAAGGGCGACAACTCAAGCCCAGGATCGATTTATCCGTACCTTGGCCTTGAGAAATCGTGTCATCACAGCAAATCAGATCAGCGCTCGTCTTCAAACAGACACTGGTGTGAGAGTGAGTGGCCAGACGATTCGGAATCGACTGCATAGGGGTCACCTTCGCGCCCGACGTTCTCGCGTGATCCCTTGTTTGAGAGATCATCACATTCAGGCAAGACGTCGTTGGTGTAGGGATCGTCAACACTGGGAAAATCGACGCTGGAGCAATGTGATGTTTTCAGATGAGTCAAGGTTCACTGTTGATTTTTTGGACAGACGTAGGAGGGTGTGGCGTCGTCGAAACGAGCGCTTCCAAGACGTTAACGTCATCAGACATGATCGATTTGGGGGTGGTTCTGTTATGGTGTGGGGAGGCATCACTGTTGCTGGAAGAACGGCTTTACATGTTGTTGCAGGGCGTGTTACAGGCCAGTACTACCGGGACAACATCTTGGCAGTCCATGTTGTGCCGTTCGCACGACGTCATGGCCGCCGTTTCATCTTCCAGGATGACAACGCAAGATGTCACAGGGCCAGGATCGTTACGGGTTACCTCCAACAACAGAACATCACCACATTACCTTGGCCAGCACTGAGTCCCGACCTCTCCCCCATCGAGCATGTCTGGGACATGCTTGGACAGAGGTTACGTCAACGTCAACAACGTCCTGCCAATGTCCAAGAACTTGCTGCTGCGTTGCAACAGGAATGGGACAATCTGGACCAAAATGACCTTAGACGTCTCATTAGGAGTATGCCACGTCGGATCAATGCTTGTTTGGCAAACAGAGGAGGATTTACCCGTTACTGACTTGGTTGTGATGCTGTGGTAACTTTGCTGTTTGACCCCGGGTATCATTTTACCCTTATAATGGCCAGTCTGTGCCTTACTTAGTCTAACGATCATTTGGAATAAATCGATGAATGTGAACTTCATTTCATTTTGTCATTTGTTTCTTCGTCAGTTTCATTAGGTGACTTTAATAACACTTAAAAATCAAATATCCCCTACTTTTTTTGAATAGTATATATATTAAGTGAATACTTCGATCTGCACACACCTCTGTTCATGACAGGTCAGCGTTTTGATTATTATATACTCTTCTAAAAAAGTAGGAGATATTCAGAAACAATACAAAACTGCGGAAATGCACTGCTGTTTTTATTAGAGGTAACCAGCGTATGTTAATAACAGGTCATTTGCCTACACATGAACATGAACAGTTCATATGGCGGCCCCATTTCACTCGCAAAGAGTTACTCTGTCAAAAGTGAAAATGGACGTTTTTGATTTTTGTTTTAATAATGAGTAATTGCTCCACCAATCCTCCAGACATTTAGCAATTCGTCGTGGCATGCTCCTAATCAGCCGTCCAATCACGATTAGGGGCAATCTGACCCACTTCTCTTGCAGTGCCACGGCCCATTCTTGCAGTATTGTCGGCTGACGTTGACGACACGTCTCCCGATCAAATTAAACGTAACACACTAAAGCAAAGATACGCCAAACAGTAAATCGTATGCAAGAACCGATAGGAAAGCAAACATGTCCGGATAAACCAGTAGTTTTCATCAACCCTTCCTTGAAGTGTCAAATTTGACAATGAACCCCTCCCACGTGTGAATGGCGATATTGCGTGTCGTTACGTGCAGATCAGTGGTTCTATTGGGGCGATAAGTTCTTCATCTGTGAGCATACTCTTAAAGCATGTCAAGTGTCCATGACTATTTATCATATCACATCCTGCATAAGTATTTGCCTTTCAATATACCCTACTTTTTTTGAAGAGTTTATCATCCTGTAAAATCTCAGACCAACATACCTGATGAGATATAAAGATTGGACGCATCATCTATAACGTTTTGGATTTTTTTTTCTGGCTTCAAATGTTATATAGATTTATTAACATGACAAGCCCATAATCAACGTGCTGGACCATCGGATAGCTCCGATTTTAAGTAGATTAGAACACTGCATCCATTTAAGATTTTAACTAGGTCTCGATTGTCAAGTACCGTGGCTATGATAATAAACTACGCTAAATTTTGTCAAAACTTCAAACACTTATAACTTCGAACAGAATAAAGTAATTTGACTAAAATGTTCAATCTGGCATTCATTTTTCATTGGTATCTATTTTGAACTATTATAGCAACAACGGTCAGCTCTTTATCTAATTCTTACATAATGCATCTTTAAATTATATTCAAATAAAGAAGTCTGGTTATGAAAAATAAAAATAGAAATCTACCATGTTCGTGTAATTTAGTTCTTACTAAGAGTAGTAGTTGTGGGAAGAAAAATCCCTGCAGCAGTGCATAGAGAAGGCTGGTCATTCGAGAACTTGTCATATTGTTTTTGTTCAACATGTCCATAGAGGAGAGAGAGAGAGAGAGAGAGAAATGGGGTTTAACGTTCACTCGACACAAACTAGGTCATTTCGGGACTAACATATGGTTTTAATTTTATTTCAATAATTCGCTTGCGCGTAGGGGTCTTTAGCAGTGGGAGGAAACCGGAGGACCCGGAGAAAACCCACGAGGTTGGACAGGCGACCCTACTCCTTGTCACGTACAATCGGGGATTCGAAACCATGCCAGTTGACTCAATGACATGCTTTATGATACAGCACGCACGTGCTAACCATTCGGCCATCCAACCCCCAAAGTCCATAAAGGAACCTGTTGAAAGTGTTTGAGCATTATCATGCTGAAACGTGTGCAGATCTGGATGTCATCTGAAAACTGGCATGGTGTGATATCCTTGTAGGCTACTAGCCGTCATTTCTGCCTCTACACACATGCAGCACAATCAAATTCGTCCCCCCACCCCCTCACATTCCCCGGTCAGTGTTTCACAGGTGGAATCTGGATTCATTATATCAGGCCATTGTTGTGATTGCCAAGCATAGTCGGCGACGAAATGTAGGTGAACCCATAGTAGCAGTATATCTGCACCAACCTGGCTAATGAAGACGGGTGGACAACAGAGGTGACGACAATAATACAACCATATTTTCATGTGGACGTAACTAAATGGAATTTTACATGAAATATCTTTATTTATTAACTATTTACATTTTGATAAATCAAACAATTATGGCGGTCATCTTGTTTTCTTCCTTGAATGTTTTGGTTGGAAACTGAAATGAATAAAAGATGAATAATTATTATTTATTATGAATTATAATCAGAATATTCAAGTATTATATTCAAATGTATTATTTTCAATACTGTTCACCAATTAATTAATGTTCCTACTTGTATACCATCAGATGTCTAGAATACAGTTAAAGTTCTTCTTGTACTCCTCACCTCCCCCCTTTAAAATAATATCTGAACATTCACACTGATAATAAGTATCAGGAATGGGGTTTAACATCTAGTCATAACAATAATTCAGTTTTTGAGACCATGATATTCTTTTTATTTTAATTTGAGAATTTTGTCAAGACAGTGGTATGTCCATCTACTCTTTATTGAATTACAACTGCAAATGGATCTTAAAGTGTACATCAATGGTTCTTTATCCAATCCAAACAACTACAGTTGGTAAAGTCTTCTTGGTGTCAAGTGAGAAGAGGGCTAGAAAAATCTTGAAGATAATTCTTGGCCCATGCCATGATTTAACTGCTCGAGCACTGCACCCCACCTTCCCCACCACCACCACACACTAACATATATAAAAATATAAATAGGTGTACAAATCTTCACTTTTACTGATAATGAAACATACTCAAATAGTTCTTGAGCTTCTTTTTCTTGTTCATTTTGTTGACTTTCTGCCTAAAATTAGAAAAAAAAATTATACCAATATTTTCATCTCATTGGCTGATTTGATCAATTTTCTGAACCAGACATCAATACCAATGTTCCATGAGCTTTTTAGAATACAAACATATATTGAACAACAAATATGATTGAATTTCGGTACTAGTATATGTGTAAAGCTGCTGATCGTCATTTGAGTGAATTTGGATCACTTGTAAACAACAATATTGTGAAAGTTATCATTCTAAAAATGGTTAAACTCTGTTCAGCATTTACAAAGATATGAATCAAAAATATCGAACTACAGCACCCTCTGCAGTAAATATAAATGAAATGAAATGAAATGAAATGGGGTTTCAACGTCCACCTGTTCTGGTCCGAACTGGGCTAATCAAGACGGGCATATGCCATACAGTGTGCAATGAGGGAAATATTGCCCGGACAGCGGTACTATGGCCCACTCTTATATCGAATTCCAACTGTCAAGAGATCTTTTACGTGCACTCCAATGTGTACACTTGACCTCAGGTTTTTCGTCCCATCCGAACAACTAGACAGCTGTCCTTGCCAGGCCCTACGGAAAATCGGGATGAACTTTCTCGGCCAATGCAGGGATCGAACACTCGACCTCCAGGCTAGCGAGCCAGCGTCTTACCCACTTAGCCACCGTGATCCCCTGATCCCCTAGTAAATATAAACAAGTGTGTAAGAGGTAAATGATGCTCAAGTTATTGAAGTAGTGAAACTATATATAATCAAAGTTAAAATCAAAGGTATTGTATTCAAAGCATCCACAAATCAAATTGCTATCTCTGCTTAGCTTAAGCAGAGGATGCTCATCATCAAACTCAGTCAAGGTATTCATCTAATAAACACCTACACCAAATTGAAGTTATTGCATCCCAAAAAGTGTGACAAGAGACACACAAACTTGCATTACTAGTCCATTGCTTTCTTCAACATAGGGAACAATGAAAGAATCGTTACATCAATTGGCAAATCGAAGTGAGAATTGCTCACTGTAAGTTTCAATCTGATTAAAACATAGATCCTATTTCGTTTCAATTATTATTGTTCAAACCTTTGTTTTACTTGTCTTTACTACACTAGGATCTGAAAGAGTTGTTATATAACCCGCGTTCTGTTGATGTGATGGATTAGCCAATGAAATGGTCTGTTATGGCGAGTTTTTGGCTTGAGGTGCACAGAACAGTGGGTAACCCACTAGAAAAATCAAATGTCTGATGTCATAGGGTCAAAAGCCGCTTGTATGACCTCTGACACGACCTTCCACCTTTGAAGGTATAAAAAAAGGAAACGAAATATAGATCTGTATTTTAATCAGATTGTGTAAGTTTGAATGAAGTGAACTAAAATGGGTGTAATAAACTAAACATGTTTCTAGTTTTATTTTAAATGATGTCATACCTGCATTGATTGTTGAAACCAGTTCTCTAAATCTTTAGATCTTTCAACTTCATGAACTTGTAAATCACTTCCACCAATAATATTAGGTAAGGCATGTGATCCTGCATGTTGTACCTATAAACACACATATACCATCAATCTAAATTTGATTCAATGTCGATAGCATTCTTCCTTAAAACCTGGACATTAACCCCACATTTCATTTTATTCCTGGGCAAGCACTAAAATCATTAAGTTCCATTGTAGCTCAGCCACTGTCACTCAGTGAGTAAAGTGCTTGCTCATTGATTTTCTATCCTGGTTTCCTCCCTTGTCATTGGTTCAAGACTGAGGGCATGGCAAAGAAAACGTCTTTAGTCGTTCGGAGTCGATGAAAACCTAAGGTTCTGTATACACGTTGGAATTCAATAAAAATGCATACAAAATTTTCCATACAAAATTTCCATTATAGCCATTATGTGTGTTTGATTGTACCTACCTTTTTAAACTTTTTGTAATTTTTAACAAGTTGGCCTTTCCACTTAATATAACCTTGTGGTACAGCTTCACCACGTGTTAATGGTGTTTTTGTTGGTGGTCGTGTTACGAGTTCGACAAATGACGTAACAACACATCTTTCTGGTAAATCCGATTCGAATATATAGTCTTCGTTCTTTACTCGTGGTTTCTATAAAAAGAAAATTACAACTTAGCAGAATGATAAATCTGTTGTTTGTTAAAAGTAGTAATCATTTCAGCAGAATGATAATTAAAGTCTATGTGTCTCATTCAGAGGTGGGAACAAGTCACGGTACCTCGAGTAGAAGTCGAGTCCCAAGTCGCAGCACCTCAAGTTGAGTCGAGTTCCAAGTCGCTGACTTCAGTGTTGAGTCGAGTCTGACTCAAATCTAGATTCGAAATAATGCATTTTCAAAGTGATTTGAGGGCAGAAAGTGTGAGAAAATAAATGAAAACCGAATTCTCGCATGGTACACATATCCAAATGACTGGCAAGACGAATACAAGTGAAGTCAGCACATAAAATGATGACATATTTGTTTTCGTATTCATCTGTAATATCCCAGAATGGATTCTATCAGATTAAAGAGAAGCTTATCACACAGTTTAAACATAACAGATCTGTGACCATACAGCGTTTATATACATTATTAGGTCTTGACCTATCTTCGTTTGAGTAGAAATCTAAATGTGTTTATATACTATAATCAAATGAAATGGCGAACTATTGAAATAAAAATAAACCATAAGTTAGTCCCGAAATGACCTAGTTTGTGTCGAGTGGACATTAAACCCCACTGCTCTCTCTCTCTCTCCTGTTTTTTTTACAGCAATTGGGCTACTGAAGGCAGGCATACACTATGTAGTGTGCTTTGAGAAAAAATTTTACCTAGAGAAACTATCTCAGTCAACATCGGGATCCAACCCAGTACCTCCTAGTTAGTGAGCCAGTGCCTTACTCACTGAGCCATCCATGTTTCACACACAATGTGTTATGTGTTGAAACATTGGGTGTTTGCTAATGAAGGTATATGTACACTCAATGCAATGCCAAATTCAAAGTTTATTTACTGCAACAAATTTTAACAAATGTACATAACAATTAACAAAATTGAGATAACAAGCTTCTGTGGATAATTTCATGAAAGAATTCACTACAAATGCACAAAACCGAAACGTCAGAGAACCATGAAACAAAGCAGGGGTCAGCTGAAGTTAATATCGGGTATGTCCACCCTGAGCTCTTACACAGACTTGAAGTCGCCTTGGCATGGACTAGCACAGATGTCTCACTAGACGCTGTGGGATTGTTTGTCAATGATTTTGGAATGCTTGTGCCAACTCTGCAACAGTTTGTGGCGGCACGGCTTGAGTTCGAACCCGGCGTCCAAGTTCATCTCAAAGGTGTTTGATCGGGTTCGTGTCTGGAGACATAGCTGGCCAATCCATAACATGGACATGATGATTGTTTAGAGAGTCTCTTGTCAACCTGGCAGTGTGGGGTCAGGCGTTGTCATGCTGGAAAACCATCTGTTGACAGGCACCATGTTGAGCCAGCAACGGAAGCAACACCGAACGAAGGATGGTGTCAACATAATGTTGAGCGTTGGGATTGCCTTGGACCACCATTAACTGCGTTCGGAAAATGACGTTGTTAGCAGCCCAAACCATGATGCCACCTCCCCCAAATGATCACTTTCCAGCACGCAGTTACGAGCAATGCGTTTATGTTGACGTCGGTAGATACGGTGATGTCCATCAGGAAAACTGAGGTTTAATCAGGATTCATCCAAGAAGATGACATTTCGCCATGGTGTGTTGTGCAGATATCCCTGATTTGCGGCCCCATTGCTGCCTGGCAAGTCCATGACGATGCAAAAGGATTTGACCTTGGTAAGGTTGACGGCAGCGTAACCCAAGAGGAGACTAACACTGTTTGAGGGCTGATCTGACGTTGCCGTGTGCCAACAGTTCCCTTGGCAGTAGCAGTAGCTAACTAGAACCTGTTGCGCAGATGCTGTAGTCGGATGTGGTGATCTTGAGCAGCGGTTGTTGGCGCTTCAGGTCGGGGTCGATGGGTGAACATTAAAGTGTCTGGCAACGGCTACCTGTGAAGACCCCTGATCCAGCATGCCAATAGCTCTGTTACCGTTTTCTTGTGTAAGGCGTGGCATTTTTCCGAAGTGATGTATGTTGAAATCTTGATCTGTATTAAAAGGGCCAGAGTGCAGGGAATGCACGTGCAAAAAATGTGACATCGGACTGCTTAAAATCGTGAAAAAAGACAAGTGTTGCGTTTTCACGAACAAAGTTCATTACCGAGAACTGATATTGGGTTCAAACCCAGAACTCCACAAAAAGAGACCTATCACAAGTTTCACCTATGTGCCATAAGATAGGAAAGCCAAAGAAAACGTTTACCAGAAATATTTCACGAATTAGGCATTGTGTTTTTTATGACTTTAAGTTCTTTTTAGATACTGGAATGTTTTCATTCTTTAAATTTATTTTGTAACCTATTGTGATGACGTTTACCTGTAAGTGTTTTCTAGTTGTTAAGAATCCATCATGGAGCTGTACTGGTTCTTCATTCTATAAATAAAAAAACAAAAACGAATAAGCTCAACAATCTATCATAAATAAATGAAATGAAATGCGGTTTAAAATCCTACTTTTCTGAACCGACTGTCATAAATAGATATTCTTACACTCAAAATATTTTGAATTGGTTTATGTTTCAGTTTTGAATATTTTCTGAATTTCAATAGGATTCTTCCAGCAAGTTTAAATAAAACCTCGAAAACCTTTAGATTAGTTTTGGAGACAGCAATAACTCTGTGTAAACACTGAAGCACAATTTTGTACTTCGATACAGTTCCTTTAGACCAAGCAAGTTTGTAAAAAGAGTCGCAAAAATATTTTATTCAATAAACTGAAATGGATTGAACAACAGGCAAAGGCCTAGAAAGGAGCAATAACTCTGCAAAAAAAAAAAATCATTGTGTGGTGCTGTATGTCTATGGAGTTGTTTTCTTAGAACTAACTGAACAATCTCTGAAAGTTTGATTAAAATGAACACTCATGAACTCAAACTTTTGGTGTGTTTTGAGGCAGTAAATCAATGCAAAGGGTTTCTCATTGGGACTAGGGGAGCCAGTATGTGTGACTCCCCCTACCCCCAACCCCTTAAAAACACTGCAGAGGGTTTATATAAATTGGGAAATGGATAGATGGACTGGGGTGTTGACAATATATTTCACATGAATGGGGGCGTATACATAAAAAAATTGATTTACACGTGTCTGTTCTGATTGGTCAACATCTACAGGTTCCTCCACATGGGTGATATCTTCTTCTTTAACAATTTCTTCATTTTTAATCACAGTAGTTGTTGGCTGTTTACAAATGGATGCTTCAACAATTTTATTACGCTTGTTTGCAGATTTATCTCTACTGGTCGATGGTGATGGGGATCTTCCTCGCTTTCTTACCGCAACATTCTCTTTTTTGGGGATATTTTGATTAGTAGATGTCATCATCAAATCGTCATCATCAATTGTAGAATTTGGTTGTCTCTTTCTCCCCGGAACTGGACTAGGAGATCGGTTTCTTTTTCGGGATGATGTGGGTTCCGTTTTGATTTGTTCTGTTATTTCTGTGTATATAGAAGAGTCTTTAGCTATGTTCATTGATGTTGTTGTCATTGGTGTCAGCGGTTCATCTTTAATTTCTACTACTGGTTCATCACCATCTGCTACAGACTGAGTTGGTCTGGAATACAACAAACTTATATATTCACGCCTGTAATCAGGAGATAAACATATTCCTGTTTCAAATTTATCACAGGGTTTAATTATTGTCCATTTAAGCATGCTTGAATTATCCATTAGAGAGAAAGAGAGAGAGAGAAATGGGGTTTAACGTCCACTCGACACAAACTAGGTCATTTTGGGACTAACACATGGTTCAATTTTATTTCAAGGCGACCCTACTCCTTGTCATGTACAACCGGGGAATCGAAACCACGCTCGTTGACTCAATGACAGATCTTATGGGACAGCGCGCACGTGCTAACCATTCGGCGCCGAATATAATTAAAGGTGTACCACAGCAATTGTGTTTGACAAGGCCTGTGTATGACACTGTCTAAGACAGGTGTCTTATTTCCAGGCATTATTGTACTGTATTTCTGTAAAACTAGAAATAAATGTTTTACCCTTTTCTAATTGGAACAGGAGATTTTTCACGTGTTCTAAGAACAGGTGATTTTGCTTTCTTCACAGCTTCCTGAAAAAGAAATGGGACATGGACTATTCAGAATAGTTATCAGTACAAAGCTTTGCAACAAGGAGGATGGACAACAATAAATGGGCTTTAACATCCACTTAAAACAACTATTTTGGGGCAAATGTATGATAAATCAATATTTTATTTTTATTGTTGTACCCTAGAGCTGTTACAAGGAAGCAAGAGAGCCCGAAGAAAGCTTATAGATTAGTCTGACTGTGGATCCCAACCACTCATGATTGAACCACTTACAATTTTCTAAGGCTCCCAAACTGGCATCAGATTCCCCATGTTAGTGATATATGGATTTAAGATATGTCCCCTGTCAAGGTAAAACTCCTGGTCATGTGATCTTGATGAGTTGCTGGGAAGTATCCAGGCATGTGAGGCATCTCTTAAAGAGCGATGAGTAGACATGTACACAATAATGAAGGGATGTACGAAATGATGATGTATGAAATGTACTATAAAGAACTTATACATAGCTGTTTATCTATTTAACATCCAACACTCTTCACATAAATCTTTCATATCTTAATAGATATTCTGATAAAAAAAGATTGGACATCAACCTAAAGCAAAATGATCACAATTTCTATTCATGTGACTGTGATATTAGTTATGGAAATTCATCGTCCTAATACCAACAATTTCATACTACAATGTACTGTTCAAAGGACACCCATCATCCACCCTCTCTTGGAGTATGCTATATTAATATTAATTAATCCTACAGAAATGAAATAGGGTCTAATATCTAATTTTCTGCACCAACTGGGTTAATATGTGCACATCCACATGTATACGGAACCTCTTTTTGTCTTCCCATGCGGGGATCACGGTGGCTTAGTGGGTAAGACGTTGGCTCGCTAGCTTGGAGGTTGGGTATTTGATCCCTGCATTGGCAGAGAAAGTTTATCCAGATTTTCCGGCGTGGTTCCCCCTTGTCAGTGATGCAGGACGGAGGGCCTGACAAAGACAGCTGTCTAGTCATCTTGATGGGATGAAAAAACGAGGTCCCGTGTACACATTGGCATGCATGTAAAAGATCCCTTGACAGTTGGAATTCGATATAAGAGTAGGCCGTAGTGCCGCTGTCCGGGCAAAATGTCCCTCATTGCACACTGTATGGCGTATGCCCATCTTCTTTAGCCCAGTTCGGAGCAGAAGAGTGGGACGTTAAACCCCATTTTATTTCATTTCCCATGCAAAGAACTAGACACTGGTCGACAAAAGATGTAAATTAATGAGTTTGTATAGGTTATAAGTTACCTTTGATATAAATGTTTCATCAACTGTTTGTCTTCCACCAGGTGTTGCTACAGTTTTTGTCTTTCTTGTCTTCCTGTAAGCAATCAATTATATTCAATAAGTATATATTAATATCAATCTCATTCAATAAATATATATTAACATTAACATTCAATAAGTATAATCTCATATATATATATTAACATTAACATTCAATAAGTATATATTAACATCAGTCTTATTCAACAAGTATATATATTAAAGGGACTCTCCCCATTTGAACAGAGTCTCAAAAATAAAAGTCCGAACATGTATGAAATTTAAGCGGCAGAATATAGAGGAATGGGGTATTGACCTTGCCTCAAAATTTTAGCTCAAAATAACGAGTCATTTGGACGTGAATGTCAAAATTGCTCACCGGACAACGTAACCCTTTTAAGATTTTGTGTTAATTTTTTCGTTGGGTGACCTGATTATCGATTGCCGTTCCTTTAGAAGTCTATACAGTGGATGATCCACGTGCTACACATTATTTTTATCAAAACACCGCATAATACAGCTTGGGACACCGGTCTCCATTTCCAGATGAAGATGACGAGTTTAAGTTGTTTGAAAATGTATAACAAATACTGACTTAGTTGCTCGGCCCTTAGGTAGAGGATTTTAAGGGATTTTAACACAAAATTAAGCAGTTTTATTCTCCAACATATTATCGGGATTGACCTTTTAACATCAAACAATCTTATTCAATAAATATATATTAACATTAACATTCAATAAGAATTTTCATTACGATAGGTTCTGTTATTTTATATATTTTATTGAAATTTCTGTAATCACTCATGTAAATTTTGTTTTACGAGAGCGTAACATGTTAGTTCAATAATGCTATATAGTTTGTTTGTCTTGGAGAATATTTACAATACTTACCCTTGTTGAGAAATTTCTGTATTTACTGCTAATATATCTGAGGTTTCAAACATCGATTCTGTATTCAATGATTGAGATTTTATCTCTGGAATAACCTGTTTATCTGTTTAAATATCAAGACAAATCCATCTTCAATACATAGAATGTATTAGGCAAACAAAAGTAATAATATATTGCAGACTGTGTTTCAGAATGGAATAGATTAAAAGCATGTATAACAATGCTGTAACAGAATGGTGTTTAATGTCTTACTTTTCTGGCCCAAGTAGGCTAATGAAGACGGGCATACACCATACAGTGTGCTATGAGGGAAATTTTGCCCGGAAAGCAGCACTACAGCCTACTCTTATATCGAATTCCAACTGTCAATGGATCTTTTACGTGCACGCCAATGTGTGCTATAAGGGTAATTTTGCTCAGTCAACAACTTATTCTTACCGTATATTGATTTCCAACTGTTAGGGGATCTTTAACGTGCAGCTAATGGTATACACGGGACCTTTCTTTTTTATATCCCATCCAACGACTAGACACCTTTCTACATGACTAACGATCAGAAACAAGGATAGAAAATCGCATCGTATAGAATTTTCACAAGAACCTCGTTACCTCAGGAATACTGAGCCAACATCATAGCCATAGAGTCATATTTAACAGCTAGAAATAGATATCTGTTGTTTTATTTACAAACAGTTGACTCGTTGCGTGAAACAAACTTACTAGATATATCAGGATTACAGTGGTTTTCTGTTGAACAAAACAATACGGCATAGCCAATTTCAGAATCAGGAATCATATTTTTCTTATTTCTAAAATATAAAAAAACCTGATGCTGTAAATATGTTGTTCATATTGATTGGAGAAGAAGAAGTGTATATTGATATGGCACATAATTTCTATCCACTAATGAATGATCAAAGCAATTATACGCTATGTACACTATATATCTTTTACAATTTACACAACAGTATATATATTTGTTCAAATACAACTGGGCTAATATACACTCAGACTGATTATCGTGACATTTAATTAAAGATACATTATGGGAGATGATATAAAGTGTTGACTGTTCTCGCTATAATAGCTAAAAAAAAAAACACAGGAAACATAAATAGAACATGTTGAAAATTTCAGTTAAATTGCTCCACGCTGAACCGACATATTAGCTTTAGAATTTCAAGCCTAGCCTTGATCATCATTACTAAAGTATATCTGATTCAAATCCAGTGAAAATCTGACACATAAGATGACATCGAGAGTTGATTACGGTTTGGATAAGTTAATACCGGGTAAAGTCTATTTAATAGTTAATATAACATTTCAGGCCAAAAGAAAGACCTGCAATAGGCAGATTTAACTCTTGCATAATGTATGTTTAAGAAAACAAAATCTAAATACCAACTATAGATAATCTCTCGGCTTGGATTCAGTTGGGTTTAAACTAGGCCCTTCAATTTAGTTCACAACAAATAAAGGTGGTGGCGTCTTGTTGCAATGGGAGCAAGATAGATCAATGGAATATTCAGTTTGTCATATCTTTATACATACTGAACAGAATCGAACAATTTTTTGACTGATATTCCTATTAGAGATTCAACTACCACAATGTTATAGTTTGCAGGGGATTCCATAGCACTAAAATCATTCATAGTCTTTAAACTTACTTTTTAAGGATTTTTTGTACCTGGTGACACCATTGTTTAGCATTAGGGGTTAAAGAATTTAAATCTTCAGTTATTGTCATGACAACCGTTCCATCCTGACACAAAACACTATCATCATTATCATCTGATCCTTCTTCCATTAATATAGGCATACCACCAGCTAATTCAATGGCCACATTCATCTTTTTAAACTGAAATGAAAAGAAATGAAATGGGGTTTAATATCCTACTTTTCTGCACCCACTTGGCTAATGAAGGCAGTCTACACCATAATAATTGTGTTAGGAGAGAAATTTTGTCAGGACAGCATTCAATCTGATTAAAATACAGATCTATATTTCGTTTCGTTTTTTTATACTTTCAATGGCCTACACTACATGAACATCTGACCGGTTGTAGCGATAGGTCACGTCAGGGGTCAGACAAGCACCTTTTGACCCTATTACGTCAGACATTTGATAAACCAATCAGCATTGATGTTACTAGTCGATTACCCACAGTTCCATGCAAAACACACCTAAAGCTCGTCGTAACATACTGTTTCATTGGCTAACCCCTCACATTATACAGAACACGTCAATGATAACAACTCTTCCAGATTCTAGTGTAGTAAAGACAAGTAAAACGAAATTTTGAACTATAAAAAACGAAACAAAATAGGATCTGGGTTTTAATCAGATTGGGACAGCATTGGTACAGTCCATAGAATTAAAACTGCCAAGGGTTCTTTTACGTGCACCCCCAATGCATACACATGACATCGATCTTTTCACATATTCGAATAAGTAGACACCCTACTTGCCACGCCCTCCATCATGCATCACTGAGAAGAGGAAACCTTGCTGGAAGAATCCTGGGGATTTTTTTCGTCCAATACCATGCGCCAACTCGAGACCTGCTGGTTAGCAACCCAACGTCTTACTCACTAAGTCACTAAAAGAAACAAGCCAACACTGAGACTGATGTTCCCATGCCTCAATCTCATATCAAATTGATGTCCCCTACCTCAATCTCATATTAAATTGATGACATCCATTACTTGTCCATTTATCATTTTGTAAAGCATCATGTAATCCAATTGCTTACCACACTGCTCAACGAAAGTAGATATTGCTCGTTATCACAATGGAATTATACACTCATTTATATCACTTTCACAATTAGATTCAAAGTTATCATGTTCCAAAGCATAGAAAAAACTTTAACTAATCTTAAACTAAACCGAAAATGCTCATCAGCAAACTCAGTCAAGCCATTGACCTAGTGAACTTCCACCTAAGTTTTCCAGCCTGTCAATTTCAATGCATTTCAATCAAGACTAGCAGATATGGCCGAAGCAGTTCCCATACTTAGACCCACTTGCCATAGTTAGCTTTATTCTTCAAGAATATTATAGCATTACCACTAGTTTATGATCTATTTAAATGATCATTCATAATTAAAATGACATAGAATACCTGTTTGGGAATAAGAAATATAAATTTCATTCCCTGGAATAATGTCTTCCGTCTAACATCAGGTAAGAAAGAAACACTGTCAGAATTAATTTCTGATTCAATAACAGTTGGTAAATAGCTGAAAAATAATCATATGTATCAATTAAAAATCTGTTAAATAGCAAAAAGCTTTCCTAGATTCCTAGATATTTAACTTTCACCATATTGTAGATCGCAAGGGATTCAAAATCCCTCAAATTACACTCGGCATCATTAAAGGAGCTAAACCTCTAACTCAAAATTTTCTATACTATTCGAAATTAAAAATACAAAATGGACAATTTCAATCAACATTGATGGTGTTATACTGCCATGAAAATGGGGAATTCTATATAACATCCAATATTTAAAACAATGAACATTTTCAAATCAGTACATGAGTCGTGCACTCTATCATTTCAGGCGCCATTTGTAATAAACAAAGAAAACCATATACTACATTTCAATGTAGGAGTAATTAGTAATGGTTAATTCACAAACCATAAAATAATTTTAAAAAACGTATAGAATTGACTAATTAGCCGTGAACAATTGTTGTTCAATTGATTAGAAATTACAATAATTTAATATAAATCACTTTATATACACTCATATTACATTAATGTGTTTTTAGACCCATTTATACACCCTTTAAATTTTACTATTTTAAATATATCTTAATTACAATACAACAATTTGCGAACTGTGTTCAATTGGTAGGTAATTGAGGTTGAAAAGTTTGAATGCCAAACATAATTTAGTAATACCAATCAATCACAACTGTCTTCAAATTTTTAAAGAAACTTACTTTTTAGGGTCTGGTTCGTTTCCTTCTTTTCCCAGATATTTCAAATAATCTTCAAGATAATTTGGTGTTACAATACATTTTTGTGACACTAAAGCACACACAACCTGAAACACAAAAGATTAGGTCAGTTTCAGTTAAACAAAAAAAAAATGGGTTTAACATTCCACTTCATTTTTCTGCCACAATCGTGGTAATGAAAACGGGCATACACCATTCAGTGTGCTATATGGGAAATTTTCTAGGTCAGTGGTACTAAAGCATGGGTTCTTTTACATTCGGGCCAACATGTACACAGTTACTTGTTATTTTGTCTCATCCTAATGACTAGACACTGTTCATTGTCATGCCCTCCGTCTTGCACCAACGACATAGGGAAAACACGTCGAAAAATCCTGAGCTGAGGAACTTTCTTGGCCAAAATTGGGAGCGAACCGGAGAGAGAGAGAGAGAGATAAATGGAGTTTAACGTCCACTCGACACAAACTAGGTCATTTCGGGACTAACAGGGTTTAATTTTATTTCAATAATTCGCTTGCGCGTAGGGGTCTTTAGCAGTGGGAGGAAACAGGAGGACCCGGAGAAAACCCACGAGGTCGGACAGGCGACCCTACTCCTTGTCACGTACAACCGGGGATTCGAAACCACGCCAGTCGACTCAATGACTGACTTTATGATACAGCGCGCGCACGCTAACCATTCAGCCATCCAACCTCCCCGAGCGAACCGGAGACCTGGCCCCGAGTTCACAAAGCATTCTCAGACTCAAGTTAAAAATTTACTCAAAATTGTTTGTCTTATTTAAACTAAAATATAGTCCTTTATAAAACTTTTGTTGTTTTAGTGTTTCAAATTCATTAATAAGAAAACTATGTGCAAATTTTTGTGTTTCTGGATCAAAGATATTTCTCATAAACAGTGATTGAAAGTTGAGTAAATTCTTATTTTTTTTTTTATTTTTTAATGGGGTTTAACGTCCACTCGACACAAACTAGGTCATTTTGGGACTAACATATGGTTTAATTTTATTTCAATAATTCGCTTGCGCGTAGGGGTCTTTAGCAGTGGGAGGAAACCGGAGGACCTGGAGAAAACCCACGAGGCTGGACAGGCGACCCTACTCCTTGTCACGTACAACCGGGGATTCTTAACTTAAGTCTGAGAATGCTTTGTGAACTCGGAGCCTGGTAGTGAGCTAGTGTCTTACTCACTGAGCCACCACAGCTGCCAAAAACCCTGTAGAACTCAAAATTAATTTTGTTTCCGTAAAAAAGAATATTCTTACTTTAATGGTAACGCTGATGGAATTCATCACCAGAAGATTACAATCTTTACGCCAGTCATTTACAAGATGACCACCAATTTCACTAATAAATGTACGACTTAGTTTTTTAGCTGGAGTATCCAAGCAAGATGTTGCTACAATAAATGGCTCGTACACCAGCCTGAAAATATTTAAATTTACCATTTGTAACCTAAAGTACATAACAAATGCTAAGATGAAAACATTCTATATAGCCTAACCGAATGTTGAAAATAAAAATAAAAAACATTTACAAAAAGATTGATTACAAATGAAAGTAAAAATCGACATTGGCAAAAAGATTGATTTCAAATAAAAGTAAAAACTCAAATTGGTATGACATTGTTGAGAATGTTCAGTTTTGATCAATTATACAAACTAGAGTTAGTATTTTTTAAATAAACAGCAGATTTTAACAAATAAAGTAATCTAGTTTCAAAAAATCTAGTTTCAATTTCTTACAGAACAAATTCACTCTTTAAAGCCTGTCTTATGTCACCCTAACAACAATTAAAGATAAGTTTAAACTGAGCTGTCTGTGACTTGTGAAGACCACGATTTTGATCAATCCTGTCCACGTTAACATCAAGCGACTTCAATTGGCTATGCCACTAGCCACCTAAATGCAGTTACGATACTGATTAAATAGTTTATACTTCTATTTGATGGCGGGTTACATAGCTAACAGTTTTACTTGTTTCCGATCGTTTTGTGGTGTTGTAGGGCAACAAAAGCCCTGCTTATGGGTAAAATGTCCATACCATTTTATGAAGTCATTATCAATCATTTTGTACAATGATTTCACCAAGTGATTTATGGGGTTTTTTGGTCAGGGGTTGGCCAAACTAATTTAATTTCTAGTTCGTTGGGACTTGCGTGAACAATGTTTTGTTTAAAATGTCAAAATTTAAATAGTTGGAACTAAAAAATTTTTGAGAAGAACAGCCAAAAACTTTTTGTTTTTAAATATAAAGTAAAGAGTAAAAATTATAATAGGTGTTGCCCTGAAGAACCGAAATTCAAATTGGTGTGGCATTTTTACTCTTAGAGATAGAGAACCATATAAAATTAAAAATATACCCCAAAAAACATATACATAAAACTGGATTTCTGGGAGCCAAAATAAAATTAGAGAGAAAAATGGGGTTTAATGTCCACTCGGCACAAACCAGGTCATTTTGGGACTTACATATGGTTCAATTATATTTCAATAATTTGCTTGCACGTAGGGGTCTTTAGCAGTGGGAGGAAACCGGAGGGCCCGGAGAAAACCCACGAGGTTGGACAGGCGACCCTACTCCTTGTCATGTAAATCTTGCGAATCGAGATCACGCCAGTTGACAGACCATATGGTACACACTTACCATTCGGCATTCCAACCCCCCAGGTTGCAAAATACTCAAAATAACACTTGCATAAAACTTGCTTTGGGGCAACCAAACTAAACTTTGTGTTCGTCAGATGGGGTTGCAAAATACCCAAAATAACACTTACGTAAAACTGGATTTGGGGGAGCCAAAATAAACTTGATCTCCATCCTTCAGATGAGCTTCACTCTCAACTCTTTTACCAGACAACCAGGTTCCAAATTTAGACAAATCTTTTAACAGAACTAATGGCAATTTGTGTGGAAAGGCCTAAACAAAAAGAAAACAAGCCAAGAATGAAGTTGATACATCTTACTCCCATCCCAGAAGAAATAGATGATATTCTCTAATTAATTGCATTTTGTAAGAACTAAATTTGCCTATTGCAAGCTTCAAATGGCTTCAAATGTTATTTATAAACTATTATTATTTAGACATTCATTAACATGGCAAGCCCATAATCAACTCTTTAGACCATTGGATGGCAGAGATTTATATGGATTAGAACACCTGAGAGATTTAAAAATTTGACAATAAATTTGATAATAAAGACTTAGTCTCATTTGTCCAGTACCGTTACTACGATAATAAACAAGCTACGCAACATCTTCCAACACTCATAATTTCTAGTGCACTGAGTGAGATCAGGTTCCTTATAAGACGTTAATATCCAGTTTCTCTCTTGTTGAAAGGTATATCGTGTAACGAGTTTCCTGACAGTTAAACCCAACTTAGAATAGGGTTCCTTCCAACCTATTCCTATTTCATAGCTAAATAAAGTTCATATCATTTATAATGCTGATGTTCTGTTATCTGTTACAAAGAATCAAACTGCTTATCTGCTTAACTAGGCAAACTTAACCAGTCAAGACATACACTACATGAACATCAACACCAAGTTTGAACATTCTACCTCAATTAGAAGAGTCTGTGTTTTTGTGTTCCAAAATGTGTGATGGACAGACAGACATACAGGCGGACAAACACATTTTAATAGTAAGCTGCTTTCTCCAAAAGACGGAAGATATAATGGTCTTACATCACCGAAAATAGAAGTTTCATGGTTTAAACATGGTGAAATTTCATATTTTAAGCGTTTATTATCATGTTTATATATAAATAGTGATATCATACCAGATTACTTTCACTATGATTGATTTGTATAGTAGCATGTCTTCTACTAACAGCAGGATCACCAGTTAATATCACATCACAATCTTTTCTACCAAATACATATTCTTTACCACATAAAAACACATAACGCTCATCTGAAATATTACAAAATCTAAATATCAAGTAGTGCCATGTATTGCAGCCCAGGTTCATATTGCGCTGCATGAAGGTGTATTGCAAACAGTATTATTGCAATATATTGTGAACAATTTTGCCTAGACTGGTACAGGTTTATAAATAACATTTTGCGATTACAATCATAAAATACAAAACTAAATTTCAATAGGTGTACTGCAGCGGATGGTCAATATTTTGACCATGCAGTATCTGGCCAGATAGTTAATTTGTACTATCCAGATAACCAGGTAATTCAACTATCTATTTAATGTCAGAGATCAAAAGAATCCCAAATTTAGGTCTTTAAATACCAACCATATATTTTTAGTAATTATAGTCATACATTAATGTAGAAATTAATGATTAAAATATACAATTATAAACATACAATAAGATAAAGACACAACAAGCTATAGAGATTGTTCATATGTCTCAAAAGTCAAGAATGTGCTACTACATGTACCGTGTCTAAATGTAAATACTGTTGTTATTCATTGTGTAATTAGGCACTAGATAAGTATTATAAAAAAAAAAAATTCATGAAGAATGGGCCTTATGAAAGGATAGCAGGAAATGTCAGAAATATCTGGCAATTATAATGGATTAGGATTTTAAATGTGAATGCTAAATATCTATAGTGCCGTGGAACCGCAGTATGACTTTATAAAGCCAAATACCACTGATAACATAATAATAACAATCTTGATAAAAATATTATATATTAGCAGGAGTAGCCTACATTAACAATAATAAAAAATATGACAATAGTGCATGTATATCATGCCAAATTGCAAAAATAGCATTTTAGGCTACAACTGCTTGAGAAAAAAATATGTTTTAATGCACCGAAACAATTATGGAATTGCCGTGTAAATTTAGTTCATCGCATCGTTATTAAATTATACGGTGGTACTTTTTAACGCCGACCAAATCCTTTTTACCACCGACCGTCGTGTAATTACCGCCGACCAAATACTTTTTATCGCCGACCACATTGTAATGACTTTCGACCGTAATACTAATATAATTACCGCCGACCAAATGCTTGTTACAGCCGACCAAATGCTTGTTACAGCCGACCAAATGCTTAATGATTCCTTGTTACCGCCGACTATTTTACGGTTGTTTGTTTTTTTATAAAAAAAGAATACAACAAGAATGTTATTTTTTATTTGAGGTGTAATCACGTACAACTACCGCCGACCAAATGCTTTTTACCGCCGACCGTTGTGTAATTACCGCCGACCAAATACTTTTTACCACCGACCGCATTGTTATGACTTTCGACCGTAATATAATTACCGCCGACCAGGTTGTTTTATTCATATATATATATATAAGATTGTTTCAAGGAAAGCGTTTGTACATAAAATTTGATTTTTAGCCTTAGATAACCTTTGAATAGCTTTCTCATATTCATATTTTTCATTCATATTGCATGAAAGACATGTCAGGCACTTAAACTTGTTCAACGCATTTTCTACAAATGGCACATGCTCTTTGTTAATTCCATCGCAGCCGTAATGGTACCAGACGCTGCAATCGTTACATTGGACTGAGTTGGTGTTATAATTCTTACGACAAACCCCACATGGGTAAAGGGCAGCACGTTTGGAATACACGATTTTTCTCTTGGAACGATACATAGCGAAGGTAGCAAAGGAATAACATTAAGCTATACTGATACACTACTACTACCTGGTGCTTTAGTTGTTGTTAGTTAGTTGTATTTTACGTCCTCTTCCACCGAGGTGATATATATTTCTGGACTTTATATACCTATGGACAAGGGTTTGACAGTAAACAAAAAGGAAAGGACACATGCCAAGTAGTAGCCAGAACAATCTGAGTTAACACCTACCTGAATACACACCTTAATCAAGAACGTATAGAGATGTCCATGCATATTGCACATGGTCATTAATCTGTATATTAAACAACATAGGCATATAGTTCCCATCCAAAGAATAATAATTAATATGATTTATATTGACCAGCAGAAGAGATGTGAGGCGGTAAAGAATCAACCTTCAACTGCAGAGGGTGCAGTCAGTTGTCCTCTTTGTGGTCGTTTGTGTAAGATCTCATATGAGGTCCCACTAATTTGGTGCTAGGTTGGACATTATCGTATTCGATTGTCAACCATATTTATATATAATAAAATCTATATTTTTATCAAACTCTGTGTATTTAACCAAATCTATTTATTTGTCACTAATAATTTAATTAATTTTATATAGTCGGCGGTAACAAGGAATCATTAAGCGTTTGGTCGGCGGTAACAAGTATTTGGTCGGCGGTAATTATATTACGGTCGAAAGTCATTACAATATTTGGTCGGCGGTAAAAGTATTGGTTGGCGGTAGTCGGCGGTGGTCGGCGGTAAAAAGTACCACCCTAAATTATAGGAATAGGTCGTGCCAATTCCATTGTTTCATGTTTGATGTTTAATTATCTGCCAATATGACATGTTTTATTTATTGTTTACGTGTACTGTATGTATTGCACTTTCTATTTTATTATTTATGTATTTATGATATAAAATGTATTAAATTTTAGTGAATGTTCTTATTTTGTCGTCGGGCTTCACGGCGGTAAAACGTTACATGGGGTGGATTGGTAACGCACAACAGCCACAGGTAAAAACCAATGTTTAAAGTATCTGACTCTAAATGGCAGCAGGTTATATCCTATTACCTGATCTCAAATTTGATATAAGATACCACATTTCGTTACTGCTTGATTGTAAGTGTTTTATTATTCATTAAATTAATAAAGAAAGTGTAAATAAAACTGTATAACAGTTTCATTTTCCCCTCTTTAATTTGGATCCATTCAAATTTGGTACATGAATAATTGTAGGAAGTTACAAACGAAATGAGATAACATATCCGACTATTCGACACATTATTTAGCTACAGCAATCTAAATTGAGATTTGCAATTAATTTTAATATTTTTATGTAAAATATTAATAAAAGAAAAAAATATTCTTTGGTTTTATCCCAATTAATATTTTATGTTCCGTTTCATTTTCAATTTAGCATTTTTAATATGCTGCAGGCGGCGCTTATTTCAATATGGCTGCGCCCATGAGTGTGCGAATTTTTCAAGTTAAAACCTTTACACTCAGTCACCATTTTAACTCTCTGTAGTTCTCTTGTATGCTCTAAAAATACTATTTTTTTGGGAAAAAAGTAAAAGAAAGCAATGGCTTTTCAGAGACAATCCTCACAAACCGTAACTTGGTGTGTTCACCGATATTTACTTTCCTCAAGATCAAGAGCATTTGATCTTCAAGAATCTCGAAATCTTTTTTCAAAATCTGGTATTTGGGTAATTACTTTGTTTAAATTATTATCAATTGTCACTGTTTTACAATTTATTTGTTTATTTATTTTTTTTTTTTTTTAAAACGGCTAGTGTGATGCACTAGTAATACAGTATTACTGTACCGTATCTAATATGTAACAGGCATTGCCTGAGTAGAGCGAAGCTGATGTGATTGTTGTTTTTTATGAAACCTTCATAATTAAGTTTCTCAAGTGACACAAGTAATGTTAAAAAATCTTGTTTTTCCGAATTGAATTTAATTTAGATCTAACTTGTATGATTAATTTTGTTAAAAAATTAAAAATTGAAGAAAGTCAGCATTGTTACTTTGTACTTAAAGATGCATTATGTAAGAATTACATTAAAAGCTGGCCATTCTTGCTATAACAGTTCAAAAATGGATAATAAAAAGTGATATCGCTGAACAATTAATTTTTCAGGATCAGGAATTTAATCAAGATGTTAGAAAAGAAATAGAAGATTACTGGAAACCAATATTGAAAAACTATGACTTGGAAAACAAATCACAAATAACAGAAAATAAGGTGAAACTGAACAACGCATTTCTGATGTTGTCTTTTAGAGATATTAATCTGATTAAAAATCATAAAGATAAAACAAATCAAGATATAATTTTATTTGGATTACAGAATCATATGGCTTAAAAATAAAACTAGATTATTATGGAAGCATGTACATTATTTAAAAACAATCAAAATTATTATGGAAGCACGTACCGGTACATGTAATTATTTAAAAACAAAAAAAATTATTATGGAAGCATGTACATGTAATTATTTTAGTTTTGTATATTGTTTATTTGTTTATTACAGAGTAATAAAGACAAGTTTTATGTTTTATCAATGTTTCCATACCCTAGTGGTAGTTTACACATGGGTCATGTTCGTGTTTATACCATCAGTGATGTAATGGCGAGATTCAACAGATTACGAGGGAAAGAGGTGTGTATTATCTCTCTAATCTCTATTATTTAATATTCATATTTTAATGTAAACCAATAATATTTTGAACCTATGGTTTTATAACTATTAAAAATTTTCATTGATTTAATTTGTTGTTTTTCAGGTTATACATCCGATGGGTTGGGATGCATTTGGTCTACCAGCAGAAAATGCAGCAATAGACAGAGGTGAAATACCAGATAAATGGACAAAACAGTAATTTATTTTATTTTGTTCATGCTATATTAAAATTTATAATTCTTTATCAAAATAGATCAATGTAGATGAAAAGTTTAAATTTTGTTTGTTAATTTTTGAGCACTCACATGGATACCTGTGTTTGAAAAGTAAATGATAGTTACCAAAATCTATTTAATGTGTGGTTTAACCCCCTTGAGCACCTGAAACTACGAAACTACCGCTACCTCTAGAACCTCAGATCATGTGAATAACTGTGAACTATTTATGGTCTATCTACCGGTGCTGTATCGTGGTTAATTTGAGGCAGTCTAGTGAAAAGTAGTTTCAGGCGGTTTCAAAAATGAGCTACAAAGCCCAGAGATAAATGGTGACTGTTCTGTAGGGTTAAAGAATACTCTGAGACATGATTGCCAGATAATCCACCATTCATAATTTTGAGTTGGTGTAAAAAATGGACATGATCACCTTGTCTGTTCAATTGGACCAATTAACAGGCAAACACTTTCATTGAAACACATTTATGGAATTATATCACCAAACACATAGGAAGATATCAATAAGTATGATAAAATTAGTATGCATGTATTTACTGTTCAGTCTACTCATTTTTTTCTAACAGAAATATAAGTAGTATGAGGAAACAACTGGATGATCTTTTATGCAGTTTTGATTGGAACAGAGTAAGTTCCCTTTGTGTTTATGTCTCCTTATTGACTTACCGTTCAGTATAATCATGTGTACCAGTTTATATACAAATCTTTTGATAACAAAAGTCAATTTAAAAATTTGGTTTTTATTTTATTAAAATATTATTAATGCCAAATGTCATTTAATAATATTTTGATGATATAAAAACCATATCTTTTAATTGAATATTGTCAACGTGTATTGTCTTATTGTACATGTGCAAATCTAGAGCCCTATTGTAAGAAAATAAATGTTAAAGGAGAAGTCCCAAATATATTTTAGTAAATATAACTTGTAATTCAGGGTGTACGATTCTCACAAACTTTAGTTGTTTGGCCAAAATTCCTGAAATTTTACACTTTGTAAGTGGCTAGATAGCCATATCTAATTACTTGCCGAAGTCGTAATTATAAATGATCCTTATGATATCAAGTCAATCATACAATTGAAGAGTGAAACCAAGTAGGTTATGTTATGTAACCTATCAATCAAATGTAGAGTTTCATATTCTAATTTGAAATTTTCCTGAAATATGACGTGCTGAAAAAACAATTTTATTTAAAGTGTTCTTTCCAAATAAGGACTTCCCCTTTAAATATAGAGCCTGAAACCCCGTACACAATCAAAAATACTTTTTATTTATCAAAAATTTTGTCCAAAAATTGTTTAAATCGGTCATTTCTGGCCATTTAAACTTTCCATTGATTTCTATTATTTTCTCACCGCAATGATTTTTTCTGTTACATAAAATAGTAATATTAATTCAGCTGTCTTTGTCTTAGTTGGCACATTCTCTATGAAGGCTTTTGAAATATCCTTGCATGCCTAATTACACAATAGTAACAGCCTTTACATTAAAATAATACATGTCTTTTACTTTTGAGATTTTTGTGAATAATCTGGATTATTGTGCTTTTAGAAAAAATACTTTAATACAAGGGCATGATGATAGTGATAATTAGAAGATGCATATTTACAATTTCTATTGATTCCCATGTACGGTTGTACTTTTTTCCCCAGGAAGTTACTACATGTGATCCCAACTATTATAAATGGACACAGTTTATTTTCTTGAAGATGTTAGAAGCTGGACTTGTTTATAGGAAAAAGGTATTTAATTTTCTATTTTAAAATAGAGCTGGCTAGCCTTTATAAGTAATGTCCTTTTGTCAATTTATGTAATGTCATCTTGTCTATCTATGTAATGTCAGTTGTAATGTCCTCTTGTCTCTTTGTTTAATGACAATGTCCTCTTGTCTCTTTGTTTAATGACAATGTCCTATTGCCTTAGTGTCTTAGTATGTTTTTGTGTACTGTCCTATTGTTGATGTACTGTACGTAATGGCTTTATGTACACTCCCCTATTGTCTATTTATGCAATGTCTTTATTTACTGTCCTTTGATCTATTTATGTAATGCCCCATTGTCTATTTATATAATGTTCTATTGTCTATGATGAATGGATAAAGGTTTGATATTGTCAGCTAAAACAACCACTTTTACACAAATAGTAATGGTTACCAGTTGCTTTTAATCTCAGTTTTAAGTTTTAACTTGAGATATTTTCCTGACTGGTACACAATTGTCTCAATTTTTTCATGAAAAGGATATTTAGAGAATTTTATATCTTTTTGTTTTGTTTTATATTGACTACAGTACAGTTTTGTTTAAAATTTTCAAAAATCATTACAAATTTGTGTAAGTTTGATTGTTCTGAGATAAATGATATTGACTATACATGTAATCTGAGACAGTAAAGATGCATTATGTAAGAGCTAAATCTGTGAAATTATTGTTGTTATTGAGAGCTTGAGCAGTAATATCAGAACACCTAAAGGCTAAAAGAACAGAAACGATGTATGCGCCAAGTTTTTCGGATGGGAGGTTAAGATGGGTTGTATTGTTGTATTACAGTTTATCAAAGATTTATGTGAAAGGTGGTGGCACATGTACTGAAAGAGTCCTAACACCTCTAATATGGGACGATCAGAGTAAATGCAGATTTTGCAGATGGAAATGGGGGGGGGGGGTCCAAGAGAGAAAATATATTTGTCCCCCGCCTTTCGAAGAAAGCAGGGGACTATTAAAATGGGTTTGTCCGTCTGTCTGTCTGTCTGTCCGTCTGTCTGTCCGTCTGTCTGTCCGTCACACTTTTTGGGACACAATAACTCTCTTCCTAATTGAGCTAGAATGTTCAAACTTGGTGTATGTGTTTATTAGGTCAATGCCTTGATGGAGTTCGAAGATGAGCATTTTCCGCTTAGGGTAAGCAGAGATAAGCAATTTGATTGGTTGATGCTTTGGGACACGATAACTCTCTTCCTAATTGGGCTAGAATGTTCAAACTTGGTGTATGTGTTGATTAGGTCAATGCCTTGATGGAGTTCGAAGATGAGCATTTTCCGCTTAGGGTAAGCAGAGATAAGCAATTTGATTGGTTGATGCTTTGGGACACGATAACTTTTAATTGAGCTAGAATGTTCAAACTTGGTGTATGTGTTTATTAGGTCAATGCCTTGATGGAGTTCGAAGATGAGCATTTTCCGCTTAGGGTAAGCAGAGATAAGCAATTTGATTGGTTGATACTTTGGGGCACGATAACTCTCTTCCTAATTGAGCTAGAATGTTCAAACTTGGTGTATGTGTTGATTAGGTCAATGCCTTGATGGAGTTCGAAGATGAGCATTTTCCGCTAAGGGTAAGCAGAGATAAGCAATTTGATTGGTTGATGCTTTGGGACACGATAACTTTAGTTCTAATTAAGTGAGATTGATGAAACTTGGTGTATAGATTTATTATATGAATACCTTAACTAAGTTCGATAATGAACATTTTTTGCTGAGGGTAAGCAGAGTGATAAGCAATTTGATTGGTAGAAACTTTGGAACACAATAACTCTCCTTCTAATTGAGGTAGAATGTTCAAACTTGGCATAGGTGTCTATTAGGTGAATGTTTAAACTTGATGTATATGTAGATGTTCATTAGGTGAATGTCTTGACTGAGTTCAATAATTAACATTTCGAGCTGAAGCTAAGCAGAGCTAATCGATTTCATTTGTCGATGGTTTGGGACAAGATAATCTTGATTCTATCTGATAGAGAGTGATGAAACTTAGTGAAAAAAATAAATGTGCGATTAATTAATATGTGTCATCTATTTATTTTGCAATTTCGGCGGGGGACATCAGCCTCACTGTTGGCTTGTTTGATATGAAATAGGTCAAAGCCCAGTGATAACCTATTTTTTAACCTATGCACCAACTGTTATAGTCAATGATGATGTAGTAAAAGGTTTGATAAGTCTACAAACACAACCTGTTTTATACACTGTAGATAGTGCCTGGTGGATTGTGTCTTAAACTATAGAAATATTATCAAGACACTCCTTGACCATGTACAAAGAAGAGTTCATCTATTATTAAGGTTCATTGATAGATATAATGTAGCCTAATATGAATAAGAACTTACAAGAGATTATATTTTATCTATCTACTGTGTATTGAATCAGATTGTGATGACTTGTATGATAACCAAAAGAATTCTGAGACTTATATTTCGAAGAAATGAAATTGGGTTTGCCTTACTCACGTAGCCACCCTGGCGCCCTTCCATCTACATGAGAATGCAAACATGTTCCAATTTCTCCATTTGAATGCACATGTGCTCATTTCTAGATTGCTTTCTGTTGTCTGGCAAATATAACTTCTACTACCTTGCATATACTTCACAAAATAACTTATACTTTGAATGTCCTTGCATATACTTCACAAATATAACTTATGCTAGAGTCCTTGCAGACACAGGGGGTTGGATGGCCGAATGATTAGCATGTGCACGCTGTATCATAAGGTCTGTCATTGAGTCAACTGGTGTGGTTTTGATTCCCCAGTTGTACGTGACAAGGAGTAGGGTTGCTGTTCAACCTTAAAGGTTTTCTCTGGGTCATCTGGTTTCCTCCCACTGCTAAAGACTCCTACGCGCAAGCAAATTATTGAAATAGAATTGAACCATGTTAGTCTCGAAATGACCTAGTTTGTGTCGAGTGGACATTAAACTAAACCCCATTTCTCTCTCTCACTGTCTCTTGCAGATACTTTGCAAATGTAACTTATACTAGAGGTTTGAACCATGTTAGTCTCGAAATGACCTAGTTTGTGTCGAGTGGACATTAAACTAAACTCCATTTCTCTCTCTCACTGTCTCTTGCAGATACTTTGCAAATGTAACTTATACTAGAGGTTTCGCAGATACATCACAAATATAATATGTTTATTTTGATGTTTGTTTATTTTAAATCAGGGTGAAGTAAATTGGGACCCGGTCGACCAGACTGTTTTAGCAGATGAACAAATCGGTGAGGATGGGTTGTCATGGAGATCTGGTGCTAGAGTTGAAAAAAGAAACTTAGAACAGTGGTTCATAAAAACAACAAGTTATTCTAAGGTAATTTTTACAGCAACATGGGTGTCATATTTTGCGATATTATTAGAAGCTAGTGTCTTAATATCGAGACATGATTGGGTGGCGGGCCGGATTAATATTTAACCCTGGGCCTGGATTTATTAAAAACCTGATATAAGTAATTTAATGAACAATAATAGTCCTCTAAATTCTAAACAGGAGGTATTTGGATATTTTTTTTTATCTTTATTAGATATTTGGATATTTTTTTTTTATCTTTATTGGATATTTTAATTTTTGATGTTTATTGGACAGTTGGATATTTTGTTTTCCAGTCTTTATTAGATGGTTTAGAAGAAGTTAATGCTGATTTATGGAGAGATATAATAGACAATCAGAAACACTGGATAGGTGCACTAGCTTATTGTATTAAATTTAAGTATAAGGTTGGTTAATTAATATATAGATAAAACTAAATGCATGAAACGAAATGGGGTTTAACGTCTTAACAGTACTTATTTGCAGCAACTGGACTAAGAGGAAATTTTTCTAAGACAGAGTTGCTGCTGCCTACTCTTATTTGTATTTCAGGGGATCTTTAGCATGCAGCCAATGATGTATATGGGTCCTTAGGTTTCCATACCTTTCAAACAACTAGACTTTTTATACGCCCACATTTTCATGTGGACGTATTATGCCGTCGCCCCTGTCCGTCCGTCCACAATTGTTTGTGGACTCTCTACAGGTCACAATTCTTATCCGATTTCGACGAAACTTGAAATATAGGTTTATCCCCAAAAGATCTCGGCTGCTTTCGATATTGGCATGTATCGGATCGAAACTTCATGGATTATGGCCCCTGTTTGTACGAAAAATCACGTTTTTAGCTTGTGGACCCTATAGAGGTCACAATTTTTATCCGATTTTGTTGAAACTTGAAATGTAAGTTTATAACCCAAAGATCTCAGTTCCTTTCGATATTTGCCCATATCGGACAGTAACTTCCTGAATTATGGCCCCTCATTGTACGAAAAATCACGTTTTTAGCTTGTGGACCCTATAGAAGTCATAATTTTTATCCGATTTAAAAACCGTTCTATTATATCACCGTTACACCCTAAGGATGGTTGAGTTCGAATTTCGTGAAAATCGGACCAAAACTTACAGACATCATGGCCACCACTCGTACACAAATAACGTAAAAATATGGTATATCAAGCTTGTGGACTCTCTAGAGGTGACAATTTTTATCCGATTTTGTTGAAACTTGAAATGTAAGTTTATAACCCAAAGATCTCGGTTCCTTTTGATATTCGTGCATAACGGACCGTAACTTCCTGAATTATGGCCCCTGATTGTACGAAAAATCACGTTTTTAGCTTGTGGACCCTATAGAAGTCATAATTTTTATCCGATTTAAAAAAACGTTCTATTATATCACCGTTACACCCTAAGGATGACTGAGAATCGGCCCAAAACTTACAGACATCATGGCCACCATTCGTTCCCAAATAGCGTAAAAATATGGTATATCAAGGTTGTGGACCCTATAGGGGTCACAATTTTTATCCGACTTTGTTGAAACTTGAAATGTAAGTTTATAACACAAAGATCTCAGTTCCTTTCGATATATGCGCATATCGAATTGTAATTTCCTGAATTATGGCCCTTGTTTGTAGGAAAAATCACTTTCTTGTTAGCTTGTTCTCTATCCATCTCTCGAAAATGTGGGCGTATCCTGCCTGGCAGCCGCTGGTTTTCTTTGCCAGGCCCACCATCTTGCACCACTGACATGGGGAAAACAGACTGGAATTTATTGAAAAACACTTGCTTAATGCACATTTTACTGATGATTCATGGACCAAGTGTTAATTATGTACAAACGTATATTTTGTAATTGGTTGTAATAAGATTCCTTAACTTACTGCTAGTACTAGTATTTTGTAATTGATTATTATTTGATTCATTTTCTGCTATTAATATTTTGTAAATGATTGGTTGTCATATGATTCCTGTACTGCCAGTAATAATATTTTGTAATTGATTGTCATATGATTCTAGTAATAATGTTTGCTATTTATTGTGATATGGTTTATGTACTGTTAGTAATAATATTTTGGATATTTTAGATTGGAGATGAAGTACAGACAGAGCCTTTATCAGTATATACCAGTACACCAGAATATATTTACGGCATATCACACATACAACTTACATCAGATCATCCACTCTATAAACAATATAAGGTATGAAAATATTGAACTGTATAAGGTATGAAATATTAAACTTTATAAGGTTGTAGAATATTAAACATTATAAGGTATGAAATGAACATTATAAGGTATTAAAATATTGAACTTAGGTATTAAAATATTGAACTTAGGTATTAAAATATTGAACTTTATAAGATAGAAAATATTGAACTTTAGAAGAAAGAAAATATCTTAACTTTATAGAATTTTATAAGGTATGAAAAAATTAATAAGGTATGAAAATATTTTAATAACATTTAAAAACATTATAAGGTATGAAACTCATCTTGTAGTTTGTATTTGTTTGTTCTATTTCATAACCTGATTCATTGACATTTTGTTATTAAATGAAGCCTACATAATACTTATTCATATCATGTATTTTCAGGAAAATAAGGAGACATTTTTAGGTAATAAATTATTCTTATTTAAAGTTCTATTTACTGTTAGTTGAAATTAGGACTGTATCTGAGAAAATCAGTTGTGAATATTATAACAGTAATAATTAAGATTCTATATCGATTATGATTGCTATGAGATTCTATATCAATGAGTTCATTTATAGATATTTAAAACATTGATGTTGGGGTACCATTATTTCAAATAATGATATGTGAAACGTGCCTATCATACATTATTCATACAAGATTATGCCCTCATAAAGTATCACTTTATTACATAATGTCTCACTTTTTACCTTTAAACCACATTTATTTTGAAATTTTTCAGGAATAACTAAAAGTAATATTAGTGCAATACATCCGATAACACAAGATCAGATACCAGTTATATTTACCAATAAAACAACAGATGATATCGGAGCTCTTCATGATGCTCATTTAGGTAATTAACATAATCTAAAATTTTGGAATTTAGTTAGTGGGCTTTAGATCATAAGGTCTGTAATTGAATCAAGTGACATGTTTTCGATCCCATGGAGGAGTAGGGTCGCCTGTGCCACCCTGTCGATTTCTCTGGGTCCTTTCACTGCTTAAGACCTGTATATATAAGCAATCGAATTATGGAAATAACACTTAACTTGAAATTTGCAACATAAATCCAACAAGTCTGAAAATTGAAAAAAAATCGGTCATAATATTACTGATCGTTATTTGAGGGGAATTTGAATCCCTTGCCAACATTCTGAAAGTTGAACCACTAGAAGGAATATCAGTACAAAATGGTTCAATTTCATGAAAGTATTTACTACAAAGATATAATGAATAGAAGTCATATGAGGACTATATTAACAAGCCAGCAGCACTTATAAGTGATGAGCCTCTTTTAATCCAAATAAATCCAAGCCAGGAAATTATTTACAGTTGGTATTGTGATTTAGTTTTCTAAATGAAATGTTAAATTTTAGGGGGGATTAAAAGCTGTGAAAAATCAGATTTCGATTGGGATCTAATAGATTTGGAATGTTATAGCTATTAGTATTACTGACTAGTCCATAATACAATTATACATTATTTTATTAGGTATACCCAGTGTAAATGATAGTGATGAAACAATAGGTAATATAATAAAAGCTGATTGGAATATTATAATAGATAAAGATGATGATGGTTCAACATTGATCAACTCACAACAGGTAGAATGAATAATAATTTCATCTACTTTCACTTTATATTCACCAACTTGAATACCTCTACTTTCATTTTACATACACTTTCATAATATTATACAAATGCTTCATAAAGCAGGGATTCAAAATTAAAAGATGCCTCAAAGGAATACTGTATTTCTGTTCTTTCCCAGATTTTTGGCTGCAGTAGTCAAACGATAAGGGCACTTTTTAAGCCCAGTTTCCAATTGTCACAGGGAAAGTGTGGGCTAGTTGTTCCGATGGCACAAAAAACATAGGTTCAACCTTGTATACACAGGATCTCACATAATAGAACCCTTGACATTATGAAGGGTAGGTTGAAACGCCGCTGTCCAGGTAAATTATGTAACAGAGTAATAGCCATATGTTAGTCTCAAAATGACCAAAGGATTGTATTAACAAGACCTTATACTCCATTCCTATCTGATCCCCTACTAGATTTTATTTATTGTAATAATTAATACAAGTGTTCTATGTTTTTTTTAGTTATCAGGTTTAACATGTGAAGAGGCAAGAAGCCATGTATTACTTCAATTACAGGTAGGGCCTACGATATTTAAATATTGTTTCCACAAAGCATTAAATGTTTCCTCCCTATTGGAACTAAAGTGTACCATGATTAGTTTATTAGACTATAAAATCTACATATGTTTGTGGGGGTTGGCCGACTGTTCTAACATGCTTTAGATTGTAAGGTCTGTCATTGAGTCAAGTGTTTGTAGTTTCGATCCCAGGCTTGAACGTGACAATGAGTACATTCAACTGCCTAACTTTGTGGGTTTGTGTTGGGTGGACATAATCTCTCTCTAAATCCACTTGACTTACTTGTTTGAGAAAATTGATGAGTGATCTCCAGTTATGTGCAATATTAACATTAATTCAATTCACATTGTAACATTAATATCATTTACACTATAGGTGTGTGTGCTATTTTTACATTAATATTAATGTAATTTTCAGGGCAAAATTTTTCTTATGGCATATGCCTGTCTTCAATAGCCTGTTTGGTGTAGAAAAGTAGGAAGTTAAACTCGACCCGGGTATTTCATTGTTTACAATTTTTGATTGTCATTTCAGGAAGAGAATGTTTTAGGAGAACCTACTAGTGCGAAGCTACGTGATTGGCTTATATCAAGACAACGTTACTGGGGAACACCAATACCTGTTATACACTGTAAACAATGTCAGGTAAAATAATTTACTGCAAACAATTCAGGTATTTATTACAAAAATTTCAAATTTCAAGTATTTATTTCAAAGAATTCAAGTATTTATTTCAAAGAATTCAAGTATTTATTAAGAAAAAAAAAATCAAGTATTTATTGCAAAAAAAAAAAAAAATCAAGTATTTAAAAAAAAAAATCAAGTATTTACTGAAACAAAAAACAAGTATTTATTTAAAAAAAAAAAAATCAAGTATTTATTGCAAAAAGTTCCTATTTTACTTCAAAAAATAAATAACAATATATACTGCAAAACATTTAGAAAATTATAATTTTAAATAATTGGTTTTTATAATAATAGAGGTTTTTCAGAGACTTAAAACCAAATGGGCAAAATTCAATAACTTTGCTTCTGACATGTAAGACTTTAAACTAGAAACTCCAGTAAAGGAGAAATGTTGTGTATATTGTTTTACACCCTCAAATCTAAAGGTTCGGCACGGACACTTTCTTGTTTTATATTTTAAATGCCTAAAATACAATATTTTATGCATTTGATTTTTAGGGTTTATCCTATTTTTATTTTTAGATTGTACCTGTAGATATAAATGATTTACCTGTTGTACTGCCACAGATACAAGAATTATCTAGTAAAGGTGGTTCCCCACTTTCACAGATAGAAGATTGGGTCAATGTTAAATGTCCAAGGTACTATTGTAGAATTAATATACTATCAATTTTCAATAGCTCTGTTTCTAGAAAATTCAAATTATGTAAATAGGTCAACAAATCACGGACAAAATTACCACTAGAGCATGTAAATCCCGGGAAAAATTAGAATTAATTAAACTTTTGCAGACCACGTTCATCTTTTGGGTAATATATATATATATGTATATTGTATATTTTGTTAATATATTTTATACATGTGTATTGTATATTTTATACATGTGCATTGTATATATCGTCGCGTTTCTGGAAAACCGACGAATCTGATATATTTTATTGAGAATTATGCGTTTGAAATTTGTGCTCTGTTGTTATCTCTGTAACCATCAAATATTAACATTAATTTATGATTTAGTATTTTAGACACATACATCAGGACACCGAACGCCATTTACATAAATGTTATTATTTGATGGCTACGGAGATAACAACAGAATGCAAATTTCAAACGCATAATTCTCAATACTTAAATATATCAGATTTGCTGGTTGCCAGAAACGCGACGATATTATACATGTGTATTGTATATTTTGTTAATATGTGTTGTATATATTATACATTTTGTTTATTTATTATGTAGATGTGGTGGAGAAGCTAGAAGAGAAACAGATACAATGGACACGTTTGTTGATTCTTCTTGGTATTATTTACGCTATCTAGATCCAAATAATCAACACCTACCATTTGATACACAACTAGCTAATACATACATGCCTGTAGATCTTTATATAGGGGGGAAAGAACATGGTGAGATTGTTAGTATATTTATCTATGGTAGGGTGCCCCATGATAAGATACATCTCAAAATATACTGATAATTATACCACCATATTCATATTTATAACAAGTCTAACCTTAGTTTTGGTTTCGATTCCCTGTTTGTACATGACAAGGAGTAGGGTCGCCTGTTCAACCTCGTGGGTTTTCTGTGGGTCCTCCAGTTTCCTCCCACTGCTAAAGACCCCTACACGCAAGCGAATTATTGAAATAAAATTGAACAATGTGTTAGGCCCGAAATGACCTAGTTTGTGTTGAGAGGACGTTAAACCCCATTTCTCTCTCTCTCTCTCTCTCTAACCTTAGTTTCCCCCAATTAATCATCACTAAATAAACATATCTCCAAATATATCATTGATCATGGCATCATACTACTATATTCATATATATAACAATCCTTGTGTTTGTTTCCACCATTTATCATCACCTAGTAAACACTTATTTTGTATTTATTTAAGATACAAAAAAAATACACCGAAATTGTGCATGTACTTGTAGTTTAAGATTAGGCACACTAATTGAACCCTCGCTAGCAAATGGATGGGAAAAATTGGAATTCAGAAGATTGTTACCATGTCAAGTCAACTAAGGTTTTCACAACCTGGACTGGCAAAACAGTGACAATACTCAATTTCGTATCACTGTATTGCAAATTCATCAAGAGGAATGTTGTATAATCCTTGAGTGGCATTTAGCGATTGAACACATTAAAAACACAACACAGTTTATATGGAAATACAATCACTGGTTTATAAGTATAGCACGACGTTTCGACAAGTATGAATGATAAATGTTTGAAATCTACAATAAAAAAATTACAAATAACTAAGTATATAAATTTCGTTGTTGGACAAATCTATAATTTGATATTTTATCTTTCTATAGCTGTACTTCATTTGTACTTTGCAAGATTCTTCAATCATTTTCTAAATGATATTGGAATGGTCAAGCACAGAGAACCATTTGTTGACCTTTTGACCCAAGGAATGGTGATGGGTCAAAGTTACAAGGTCAAATCTACAGGTCAATATATACCTGCAGAAGAAGTGGAGGTCACAGGTTTGTAAAGGTGTTTTGGATTTTATTATTTTTAATGGTTATGGTTATATAGCCGTTGTGACTCAGTGAGTAAGACTCTGGCTTGCTAACCGAGAGGTCCGGGATGGAACCAAAAAGTAGGACATTAAACCCCATTTCATGATAGCAAGCACAGTCCTGTTAAAGTTGACTGATCCCACACTTTTAAGAAGTGTGCATCTCATAAATTAATGATAGATTGGTCTCAATTTAGGGACATAATTCAAGTTTAGGTCAAAGAACTTACAAGTCAACAAAGATCAACACAACAGAGTGTCTCTTTAAAGCCATTGATCATCATTTACACAAAATATCAAATTTTTCATGGCTAATCCATGTTTAAATATACTCAGATTAATACTTAATTAAGAAAACAACCAAATATCAACAGTAGATAATCTCCCAGCTTAGATTCAATTGGATCAAAAAGGAGGTCCATCAAATGATTTTAGTGAAGATTAACGGTGGTGCTGGCTTGTTTATGTTGTTAGCAGAGGATACCGAATGTTGCAAAATTTTCAGTTTGTATAGAGATTCCAATGTCCTCATATTGTAGTTTGCAAGGGAATCATGGTTATTCAAATGTTGATCAGCAGCTTTAAGGAATGATTATTATAAATCTTGATCTTCATATCTCATTAATCAGATTTTAAAGAAAATATGAATGTTACAGAATTTTGAAATATTTAAAATATAGTATGATGTATAATATAATTCTTGTTTTGTTTTTTTCAGGTAATACAGCCAAACAAATATCAACTAATGAACCAGTAGAATTACGGTGGGAGAAGATGAGTAAATCAAAATATAATGGTGTTGACCCACAGGTACAGTTGACTATAGTTGTAATCTTAAAATACAATCCAGGCTGGATAATCTCCACTGACAGTGTTTCTTGGGGTTTTTTCGGCCTGGTTCCTCCTTGTCAGTAGTGCGGGACTGAGTACTGTTGGCTTATTTATTTGAATAGTCAATGAAGAATATTTCATTGATAAATGATTATTATACTAACATTTATTTCTTTGTCCAATGTATAAATACAAACATGAAATAAGTATTTTAGTGGCAAAGTTTCTGTGCGTTACCAAAAATGACCGACAGACAAAATTTTGAAGTGGAAGCCCCAGTTTAGTTGTTCAAATGAAACGGAAAACCGAGAAACATCAGCCTCAATGTCAGCTTATTTATTTTGCAGGAAGTGTTAGAAGAATTTGGTATTGATTCAACTAGATTATGTATTATGGGTAACGTTTCTCCTATGTCAAATAGACATTGGTCTAATAAAGGTAAAACATCATGTATACAAATAATCATAAATAATTGTCTAGTTAACCCTTTAGCACTTGATTACCTTGGTTAACTAGAGAAAAGTTAGCTTTGTTACATTGAGTTTTATAGCTAATTTTTGAAACGACATGAAACCAAGGCTCCCTAGACTGCTTCAAACTAAGTCACATAGCAGGTATATTGCCCTTAAATTGTTCAGAGCTATTCACATGATCTGGGCAGATTGATTCAGTGGTGTGCAGATAAGAGGGGCAGTGTTGGCGACAGCACAGGCATCCAATCAAAGAGTGGTATTAAAATTAAGTTAATTGAAATTATTGCTGTACAAGCTGAGGAACTTAATTTGAATTAAAAGTTTATTTCATATGTTTTATATATTTAAGCTGTATTACATTTCTCAGTACTAGGCCCTATACTTGTGACATGGGGGCATAGAGTCAAGGAGTTTGCCTCTATCATCAAGCCTTTGCAATAGTAGTTTCAGGTGGTCCAAACACTAAAGGGTTAATAGTAAGAAAAGGTAGCAAATAAAAACAAATTAAATAATAAATTAAAAAATAATGTGTTGTCTGATGGATTATTTTCTGTGTGTTATTCGTTTGGACGCAAGTGTTTAAATTTTGTGATGGTCCCTTATTATTTTTTGTAGAATTTAAAGGTATTGTGAAGTGGCAGTATAGAATTTGGAATCTGGTTGGTGAATATTTAACTCACTCAGGAAAAGATAACCCTGTACCATCTTCTAAACAAGAACTTGATCAATATGATAAAGAAATATTTGAGAAGAGAAATCAGGCTGTTAGAGAGGTTTGTTAAATTATAATATCATGAACTGTTCCCTCTAAGTTGTGAACATGTACTCACACACCTTTTGCAACAAGTGCACAAAGGAAATTAATGTGTACACAAAGTTTAGGCCATATTGAAAATATTCTTTTTGCTTTCTTACTTGTTTCATGTTAAAACGTGCTAATTGCCTATACAATTATTAATTTATGCATTGATAACTGAGCTTAAGACTTTTCCATCTTATGATAATGCAGTTCTAAAAGGTTTGTAATTAGTCTCAATTTGTAGCATAATCTACTAGTTTGGATTCAATTGGATGAAAAAGAGGCTGGTATATTTTACCGGTATATCATCTGCAGAGGATGCCGAATGTTGGAAAAATTTTGGGAAGATGCTAATTGTAGGCCGGTTGGGGAAGTTTGGGAATTTCCGATGATGGCCGAATCCATTCCAATAAATGAGATATTGGGAGAATACCAACCCTAACCCTTTTTAGAAGACTGAACTTGGATCCAATTTAACTTTTACCCTCTTCAAAGGGTTAGGGTTAGTATTCCCCCAAATATTCATTTATATAAAGCGACTATTCTGAACTAAACATCGGTCCACTTTACCGTCAGAAATTCCCGAACTTCCCCAACTGGCTTACATTTAGCATCTCCCAAAATTTGTATCATAGCTTGTAAATACTGAATGGAATCAAATCAATATTGTAGTTTTGCTTAAGATTCTCAATTGACATAAATTGAAATTCTGCTTTATATGTCTGTCTGTTTCACATTAACTAATTAATTATTCATATTGTAGGTTTCCTTTCATTTTAAGAAGACTTATTTATTAAATACAGCCATTTCACAACTTCAGAGTTTTACAAATATATTGAAGGTAAGGATTAGTCAGTTCTAGGTCTGTCCCTGTTGACTAAAATAACATTTTAGTCCTTTAAGTAACAATGCGTCAGGCAAATAAAAATTAGGTTTTGTGTACACATTGGTGTGCACGTACAAGAACTCTTGACAGTTGGAATTCAAAATAAGAATAGGCTGTAGTGCCATGCCGCTGTCTGGGTAAAATTTTCCTCATAGCACACTGCATGGTGTATGCCCGTCAGTACAGAAAAGTAGGATGTTAAACCCCATTTAATTTCATTTCATGATTCTGTAACTTGTATTTTAGAAATATCCACCAGATGTTATGTTTGAAATTTCTGTATTTTAGAAATGTCCACATGGTATTATGTATGAAAGTTATGAATTTGAAAGAAGTTTATGTGATTTAATTATAATGATATCACCTTTTGTTCCGATGTTTGCCTCAGAAGTGTGGACAGCTTTAACATCTGTAGCTAGACAAACAGATCATATATATCAGTGGGTAGGTTCTGTTATATTGTATTCTCAACTTGATATTGAAGTAAAGAGGCCAATCCAAATCAATTTTTAATTCCTTAGTGTCTTGATAAAAAAAAGTCTTATGAACAGTGTTTTGTTTAAAAGTTCAAAACATAATAATTTGGATCTTAAAGCTTTTGGATTAGTTTGTTTTGGCAATAAATATGAATAAACTAATGGTTTCCCCAAATGCCCAGTATAAGATCTTTAAAGTCATTTGCTTTTTTCGAAAAATAAAATTTTCCATGGCTTAAAGATACATTATGGGAGATTAGGTAAAGAGCTGGTAGTTCTCACTATAATAGTGAAAAACTAAATAATGTAAAGGGAATTTACTGACAATTTCAGTCAAATTGATCCACCATTGAGAGTTGATTATGGTCTGGATAAGGCTTAAAGAAAGACCTGCAATTGGCAGATTTAGCTCTTGCATAATGTATGTTTAATCAAGACTAAAATATACTCAAATTGATTATTTAATATTTAATTAAGAAAACAAACCACCTGGGATTCAGTCTGATTTAAAACAGGCCCATCAATTAGGTTCACAGCAAATAAAGAATAGCAGTGTTCTTGTCACATAGGGAGCAGCATAGATCAACAGAATGTTCATTTTGTCATATCTTTGTAAAGACTGAATGGAATTGAACCATTTTTGGACTGAGATCCCTATTAGAGATTCAACATTCACAATATTGTAGTTGGCAAGGGTTTCTTGAGCAATAAAAATTCACACTGATTACTTTTGAATATTGCTTTTCAGAGTGAAGTTGTGTTAAATCAGAAATGGCCAATTGTTGATGAATATTATCAGTATCCATTACAAGTTAAGGTTTGTATGTTAATTTGTAAGGTATTATATTATTGCAGAAGAGAGAGATGGGGTTTAACATCCACCAAACTCAAATGTTTCTTTCTCCCATTGCACAGTGTAGTGTCAATGTTGGTTGAAACATTTCCACAGGAATGCATTTTTAGCACAGTGGCAGCTTGACAGGTAGCTGGGTGAGGTGCAGATACCTTACAAATAAAAAGTACATAAATATTTCTTTTTTTTTATGAAAGAGACAGAGATATGATACAATTTTAATAATTTGCTTGCTCTTAGGGGCCTTTAGCTGTGGGAGGAAACCAGGAGGCCGGAGAACACCTACAAGGTTAAGCAGGCGACCCTACTTCTTATCACATTCGTAGCTTGGGAATGAAACCACTCCACATGACTTCATAACAGACATTGAGATCTGGAGTGCATACATTAGACCCCCTCCTCCCTACATTATAAACACCTGCATATTATGAAATTGAATGATATGTTTATTATTTTATAGTTTAATAATGGTGATTGGGGTGAGGTAAAACTACCTGTAGGGAGTTTGAATAACTTGTCGACAGAACAAGCCAAAGATGTTTTATATCAGAATCAGCCATTTCAAGAGTACTGTAAAGACAGAGTGTTATCAGACTTTAAATTGATAGTTAAAAAAGATTATAGAGCTGAAATATATATTACATCAAAATACACTGAGGAGAAGAAATTAGAGATGAAAAAAGCCAAATCCATGAAATCAAAGAGTATAGCACAAAATAACTGATGAAACCAATTCGATTTTCAGTAGGGGTTTGTAATATGGTTTCAGCACTTGGAATTTCATGGATTTTTTCCCTGATTTAGACAAGTTGTTTTGAAGGGACAGTCCCAGATTGTACAGGGTTGATAAACACAGGATAATTTAAGGAAATGAAATGTCGTTTAAAACCCTACTTTTCTGTCCCGACTGATAATTTAAGGAATTCCGTTGTTGTTAAGTTGTACAAGTGACTGGGTAATAGAGATACACTTTTACCACTTATGCATGTATGTATGTAGACGTTGGCTACTCAGGCACTTGGGGACTTAATCACCACATATCCAAGCGGAAAGTTAGTATTTCTGCGAAAGAGTAACGGAGAGCTTCAAATAGTTATACAGAACTAGTACTGCTGAGCTTGGGATGGTTGCACAGGACAAGGATAAGGTACCACCGAGCTTAAGGATAAGGTCCCACTGAACTTGCGATAGTTGTACAGGAAAAGGACAAAACTATAATCACTCAAACTTAGTATTAGTCAAATAGTAATGGGGAGAGAGAATACCAACAAGCATGTAAATTAGTATTGACTGTATCTGTGGCAATTTTCGACATAAATCAGTGCCATATTATTTACATAAGTGTATTATTATTATATAAGTATTATATACTTGTTTTGTTTATAGAGTATAGTATGAATATATATTAAACTTATTGCAACATTTGAAGAGTATTTTACACAGATTCATCTTGTTCTAAAGCCAAGAGCACGGTCATTTTCCAGGGCAATTTGTAAGGAATTTTTATTTGCCATCATATTCATATTACTAGAACAAATCACCCATAATTAATCATTGTGATGGCAACAGCCATTTCTGGCGGCTCTGAAATCGTGTATATAAGTGGCGTGTGTGTGGTAACAAGCAATATTTTTGTTTCACCAACATGTTGCTGGGCATAACGAGATTTTAAACCATAGATGTTGCAAGTTTGATCTGTCACATGATGAGCTGTAGAAATCTTTGAAAATCTGGAAATATACTCATGTCTGGAAATGCACACACGTCTATGATTTTGACTGTAGGGTTGGTTACCCAGAGTTGCTCATTGCTTCAACAAACCTGTGTGACTACAAACAGTGGATATCTTTAACAGCAAATAAATAAAATGTGTCCATTCCCTCTATAAATCACTATAATGTATAAAAAGATGCTATCTTTAAATACAGATCATATAAAGATACAATCTTATCAACATATTTCATTGATCGAGACTAACATATGGCCATGTGAAGTAATTTGTCAGGGCGGTAGTCAGATGGCATTAACCCACTGATTAAATAAAAGATATTATTTTATGATCAGTAGTGGAATACTGCGTTTTATCAGTGAAATAAAAGTGTTATTCCACTGGCTAGCAGTAGTCCATGTTGTTTTTACCTAAAATGAATGTAAAATCATAAAATAAATAGAACATTTGTCGTTTTGTTGTGAATAACATATTTTATTTCATCTCTAACCAAGAAAACGTTTATATTTTCACTCATGCTACGCATTGTGAAAATATAAGTTTTCTTGCTTCTCGATGAAATAAAATATGTTATTCACTCAAAAACGACAAATATCCTCTATTTATGATGGGATAGACGTAAATCAATAAAATATCAATATGAATTAAAACAAATATTTAAAACATAACTAGATAGTCCAGACAACTAGGCAACATTCCTATCACGGCCTTCACTTTGGAACGATATCTGCCAACCTGTGAGGTAATTTGTCAATTGAGCTAATGTTTCAATTAACCAGTCTCTTGTCAAACCTGTTTAAATAATATAGATACCTATTTGAAGTAAAGTCAATAAAAATCCAAAAACATGTATAATGTTTGTGCTAAATATTACCGTATTTTCCGAATGAAAAGAACAATTTGAAGAATGAATGAATAAATGATAATTATGGTGTTTATATCCCTCTACTCTAATTGGAAGAGGATTTATACTTCCGATGTTTAAGGTCTGCTTTTCGACCACACACTTATTTCTATCCGAAAGACATGAAAAATAATAAAATTATGGACTCGAATTGCGGATAAGCCTACAATTAATAAAATAACAGAACGTCAACCACCGTTTGTCATTTTGCTAGCTGAGCGCGCATGCAGTTCTATCACGTCTAGCAAAATGGCAAACGGTGGTTGACGACCACGTTTCCAATTTATATAAGTCTATTGTTATGTAGGACTGTCGCAGACATATATCTATAAGCGTTACTTGAACATAAAAAAAAAACCCAAATCATATTTTCAAAAAAAGCTTTTTATTGGATTTAATAAATGACGCCATAGTCGCCATACCGTGTATATTTTATTGATACGCACCCAGTCTTCGTGGAGTCACAAGACAAACTATTTCTAGCTATATATCCATTCAGCCTGAAGAATAGTCCCGTTGCTGAATATTATCTTGATTGCGGGTAATATTAAATGATTTTTTCGCCGTCTCATTGTTCTTCGTTTCCACCCGTGGCTCGATGACTACGACGCTGCCTCGCAAAACCAGGAGGTGTTGGCCAGTATTTTAAAATTTCTCCAGTCAGGAAATGCGTCGAAATAAAACAAATTTTGTGGAATACATTTATAATGAATTCAATAGAAGCGACGTTTCAAAAATGATAACGACAAGAAAACCATTGTACACACGTTGCTTCTTCTTGTAAATTTAATAATTTTATATTATGTTTTATTCAACATCATCAATTATTGAAATGCCATTAACACAACGAGGGAAATACGAGTAGGTTGTAGCGTCGATGCCCGAACTAAGTTCCTTTCATAACGGGGAATGCTCACTAGTCAGCGGGTGCACTAGTCCACGGGTTCACTAGTCCGCGGGCCGGTGCACTAGTCCGCCGATATCTATTATGCACACCCGTAACGAACTCTGACAATAATACTAACGCACCCACCCTGACAATGAAATGTAAAGCACCCCGACCGACAATGCAATGTAACACCGACAATGCAATGTAATGCACCAACCCTGACAATGGTATGTACGCAACGCACCCACATAGACAATGGTATGTATCCATTTTTCCAAGAATTGATTGAATTCAATATAAGAGTAGGCCAGTAGCGCCGCTCTCCAGGCAAAGTTTCCCGCATAGTACACTGTATAGCGCATGCCGGCTTCATTAGCCCAATCGGAGCAGAACGGTAGGACGTTAAACCCCATTTCATTTCATTTAATTTTCCAACTTATCTGCGCCAATCGGACTATTGGCATACGCTGTGCAAAGGGCTATGATGGAAATTTTCTAGGGACAGTGGCATTTCTTCATCGAATTCCAACTGTCAATGGATCTTTTATGTGCACGCTAATGTATACACAGGAGCTTATGTTTTTGTACCATATACACAACTAGACATTGTTCTTTGCCAGGCCCTTCGTCCTGCTGACAAGGACAGTTGTCTAGTCGTTCGGAAGGGACGAAAACCCGAGGTCCCGTGTACACATTGGCGTGCACGTAAAAGATCCATTGACAGTTGGAATTCGATATAAGAGTAGGCCACAGTGTCGCTGTCCGGGCAAAATTTCCCTCATAGCACACTGTATGGCGGATGCCCGTCTTCATTAGCCCAGTTCGGAGAAAAACAGTAGGTGTTAAACCCCATTTCATTTCATTTCCTTCGTCCTGCACTACCGAAAGGGAGAAACGACGCTGCAAAATCCCAGGGAACTTACTTGACCAACACCAGGATCAGTGAACGTAATTAAACTGTATATTGAGAGGAAGATGGCCGACAACCCGAGATCACAGCATTAAAATTTTATACGCGACATTACATTTTTAATGTATTTTCAGGTTAAAATGTCGTGATGTCGGGTTGTCGCCTTATGAAGGACGACCCCACGACATCACGAAATGATACCAATCAGACACCATACCTGCTGGTTTTTCTGATACCCATTATACATAGTATTTTTTATAGCGGCGGACTACTGCACCCGCGGGCTAGTGAACCCTTCTCAAACCCCATTTCATGTTTTTCTCTATTTTTCAACAAAAATAATAAATAATATTATTAAATAACAATCGACTAAAAATTGTGAAAGAAAATTTAGCTCCACGCTCACGTGCTTTAATTGGTGTACAAAGGTGGAAAATCCGACCCTATAAAAAATAATCCTTTACGCTCAATTAAAATTATTAAATCTGTGAATGAATGAAAATATTTTACTGTAGGCATTTTAATATCGTACTTCAGTGACATCTGTATTTGTATGTAGTTCGTTCTATAAATATCTATTCAAACCTTTATTTTTAAACTCGCCTTGGGGCGGTATCGTATCGTTTATCACGAATTGAATTCGGTTCACTCTGCATTGAGTCAGCATACAGGACAATATGGCTACCTAGTACCCATCCGACAGTGTTTTGATACGTGTCAACGTGGCAACCGAATTTTGACAGTAAACTTTAACCTCTCGTGACTTATAAACAGAGTGCAATACGCTATGATTTTAAAACGGATATTATTTTTATTATGGCCTCTAGGGTGTTAGAAACCCTAACATGTCATAATCTTTTTGTTGATGTTGTGAGTGTCAACGGATTCGCCGAAGAAAAACAAAAGAATAAGGAACGTTTAGAGTATGTGTTTGCTGTAGAAGTTTACTGGTCGGACGGCAGAATGTGTTGTGTGAGGAGAACGTACAAAGATTTTTTAGAACTTTATAGTTTACTAGTTAATGAAACTAAGTCGTTAAAGGAGACAGAATATTGTATGTCAAGCATACCACGATTACAAGGTAGGAGGCCCTAATGTCAATATTTGAACAGATATATATATAGGCCTATATAGACTTGAATACTTAATAGAGATTGTTTTTTTTTCTTCTTCTAAATTTAGTTTAAAGAGAATTTTAACCGGATATATGATTGCGGTGAGTGTGTCAATTAATATAAGACAGCTAGGGGCATTAAAGTGGGATATTAAACCCTATTTCAATTTAAAACACACGAATTAAGTCGTTTTTAGCTCATTTGCTAAACCAAGATATGACGTCATAATACAAACGTTGACATTGATCGCCCATAAATACGACTGTCTTTGATTGGTGTGTGATAATAATGTGTGTGTTATAGAATGGGGTTTATGTTCTTGTCAGCACAATACTCGTTGGTAGTGTGTTTGGAATTCTGCCTCAATTTTTGCCCAGGACCCACACCCGGTATCTTAAGTAGCCTACAGTGCCGGATAAAGACGCGAGGTGGCCCTATCTATAGTGCACTTAAGTAAATCCGGACTCCTACTAAGCCACCCCCCCCCCACCTTCACCCCAATCGAAATTGAATTATATGAAAAAATTTACATTAATGATTATTCATTAATTTGAATACACAATGTAGATTAGACAAATAAGTACTATCCCAAACACTGTATGCTATGTAGATTCACATATCAAATTGTTGTTGAGTAAAATTCCATTAAATTAGTTACACTAAAGGAATCAATGATAGTGCCTACCCAAGAAGTCCAGTTTTAGAGTAAAGTCACTTTCAATGTTGTTTGCCGCATACAACACTATTTGCTTGTTATAGCCTCCAGAAGGTACCTCTGGAGAACCGGGTTTAAACAGCCCAGCCGTTCTTCTCAGTATCCGTACCGGGAAATTCTAGTTCGAGTGACCAGTACCTCGGATCCGTTATGGAATTTATCAGAATATACGCCCTACTGAGAGAAAATGTTTTTTTTTTAAATAAGATTATATGGTGGATGAGTCCCTTTAACCTGTATATATTATATAATTAGGCCGCGTATATTACGTAAACTTTAATTTGATTGATTAGAAACTGACAATAGATACTCAATAGGCTAATCCTAGCAAATGTTATAAAAAAGTTGAATTGAAACAGAAATGAAATGAAATGGGGTCAACGTCCTATTTTTATGTACCTACTGGGCTAATGAAGACGAGCATACGCCATGCAGTGTGATTTAAAGGAAATTTTGCCTACAGCACTACAGCCTATTTCGAATTCCAACTGTCAAGGTTTTTTTTACGTGCACGCTAATGTGTACACGGGATCTCGGTTTTTCGTCCCACCCGAATGACTAAACACTATTTGTCAGGCCCTCTGTCATGTCATAACTTTCTCGGCCAACACCGCGAGCTAACCCGAGACCTGCAGGTTAACGAGCCAGCGTCTTGCTCATTGAGCCACCGCGGCTTCCGAGACATTTCAAGAAGGATCAATAGTTGACACGTATGATGGGACGTTTAAAGATACATGTATAACATTATTAAACAACATAATATTATGTTTCAGAAATGTGACTGTGTTAATATGCTACCAAAATGAAATGGAGTTTAATGTGTCTACACCATCGGGTCTATTACAGCGGCGCTACGACCTACTCTTATCTCGATTTCCAAAAGTCAGGGGATCTTAACGATGTTACCGCGACGCTTTTCCCTGCCAGAATAGCCACACTGGGCCATTGACAGCGGGTAACTAGACTGGATTATTGGGCGGATATTTCTCGGTTAACACCAGGATCGAACCTGACTTCCCGTGATTATTGAGCCAGCCACTTACTCGTTGAACCACCCTGGCTTCCCTTGCGATACACCCTCACCCACAGTATTTATATTGTAAATATATTTTCTAGGTTGGAGATGGTTTAGACGATATGATCGAATATTAGCTGAATCAAGAGAATTAGAACTACATCATTTTGTACAAGAATTATTACACCGAAATCCACAGGTATTTAAATCAACAATAAAATCGGGGATATGCCAGTGCCCCCCCCCCACCCCTTACCCTACAACTCCTTCCTCAGCTACATAAAAGAATTGTAAAACAAAACTTTTTATGAGAAAAGTGTCACGGTCGTGTGCTTTATCCTTTATCATCAGATGGTGGGATGGGATAGGTATTCAAAGTGCGGGATAAAGACATAGACATGTGATATCACAATGCTTTGAATCAATGAAATTGAATCACAATGTGATCGCATTAATTCATAATAATAATTGACATCAATTGGGGTGTTGGATTTCTCTCTTTAAAGAACTGATTTTATTGCATATCAGTAAAACTAAAACGTAGCGTAGTAGGTAAATGTATTTAGTATGTTTTTATGTAAAATCCCAGTTTCTGTGTTTTGTCAAAGTGACTCCTGGTTACCCCAGATATGCGCCAAAATTGCCCAAAATGACAATTTCTCCATAATTTTCAAGACCGGGGGGGGGGGGGATCCAAAGGATACATTGTCTCAGGAACCTGACAAACCCCCTCCTGAAAAATTCCCGGATCCTCCCCTGCATGCCCTGTGACATTCGGGCAAAGCGGCCACAGAAATATCGGACAATCATTGCACTTCTTTACAGAACATGTTTTAGACACAGGCGACCGAAGGGATAATGTCTGTCCTTTTTGAGACGGTTGAAACGTTGACGTAGTTGGCTTTTCAACCGATCCAGACCAAAATAGATGCCAATATTTGGCATATGTTTTGTTTAATAAATTTAAAACCAATCCCACATAATTTTGCTTAAAATGTAACCCAAATGATTATATGCCGAGTTCGGTAGATATCTTTAAAAACATTTATCAGTGACATCACCCACGAAAATAAATTAATTCCATATATCGTGTCATTTGTTAAAGTAATTCCTATAAATATAGGTGGTTGTACTATCTTTTAATATGACATTCACAATGTTATCTTCTGTTATCTAGTTTTTACTCATAGAATATGATTGTGTCAGGGCCAGATAGAGATAATTTTTGTATAAAAATATTTGTCATGAAATAAATTCTGTTATAGCAGTGAGGCCTGTTTACATGGAAAGGGTTAATCATCGTTGTCAAGTTAGGTCATCCAGACGAATCCCCGTCTGTGACGTCATTCTATTTAAACACCTTATATAACAGACTTGATCTAGGAGTTCTCACCATTGCTCCTCCTCCGCCCTCCCCCCTCCCCCACGCCCCGATATTATCATACCACTCCCCGAAGCCTGCACTACATGTCACATCGAAGAGAAGCGGACTATCATCCTGCACCCGATTGCACTTCATATCCCAGAAACAACCGGAGCTGGCACAGTGTGAGTGAGGTGTCCCCGGTAAATGCCGCAGGTTGTGTATGAATGGTTTGATGACTGTTTTGTTATATATTTTTAATGGCCAGGTGTTGTCTGTAATTATACAAATAACTTTTTTTGTTTATTTCCAGATTGCCTCCCATCCAATAGTATTAGACTTCTTCGAACAACGACCAACAGATCCGTTTCAATCAACTCTTAAATCAAACCGCAACTTAGCGATATACAACAGCACTCTCCATATGGATAAACAATACGAATGTAATATTTTATGACGCCATTTTGGTGAAAACCTTTGTTTGGGAATTAATTAATATGTGCAATGAAAAGTGGAAGAACAAAGAGGAGAATTAAAGATAAAATCGTACGAGACATTCATTGCTGGGCCGACGTTTCGGTCACAATGATTAAATAAGTGCCAACATGTGCGAAGGTCCCATAGGTAAAATCGGCCCTCATTGGTGCTAATAGGAGCCAACTGCTTAGCCTAAGGGTTGGTCTAAAACCTCAGATCGAAACGTACCTTTGACAGCCAATGTCACATTATGCGACCGGGCGGCCTTGGAGATATTGAAAGTGGATAATAGGAAATAGGGTGAAAGGGTAGACCGCTGGTTTCGACCACAGAATTATATTTCTTGTCGGTAGCTTTTCTTCTAAAATCAGAGTCTTTAATTGTCAAATTAAGATGATATAAAATTTGTCCGTCAATATCTAGAAATTCACAATCTGTATCTGCTTCTCGAAAACATACTTCATTTTGTTAATTGTTTCACCATCTTTCTGACGCAGTTTACCAAAACGAAATCTTGCGTGATAGCACACCTTTTAGACCAATATAACGTTTGTTGAGCTTGGCTAGTAGTTTTTCATACGGTGTGGTAGAAGCATGTAATTCTGGAATTTGTAGGGATATAATGTGTACATTGAAGACTAACTAGAGAAATATTGTGTTGGGGAAAAGAGTGAATTGGTGTTACGAAATAATTACCGGTATACTCAGTATTATACCTTTCGGAGGGAAATAACAAAAACAAACTCAGCAAAAGAGACAAAAGACTTATTGTTGGTTAGCTTACTAGGCCTATATTAGGCATAAACCTTTAATGTTTCGTTCAATTTAGTTAAAAGCGGCTTTACCAGTGCAGAAAAGTAGGACGTTAAACCCCATTCCATGTATTTATTACATAATACAAATATTATACAATTACAAATATTAATAAACAGTTGATTTAAACTTTGATATCTGTTTTTGATGTTAATAAACCATTATAAAAGAGCTAAATCTGCTTTTTTGTGGGGCTTCAAATGTTATATGAATTATAAATAAGGCATTTTTTCACATCGCAAGCCCATAATAAACTCTTTAGTTGAATTGTTTAGAGCAGCATGGCCATACAAAAATTGAACGTTGAAATGGATAATCAGGACTGTTTATTATCGTAGAAATGGTACTTGACAATCGAGACAATCTTGTCAAAATTTCAAATACTCATAACTTCGCCCAGAATAAAGTAATTTGACTGAAATTCTGATATCCATTGTTCATTATCTACATTTGACCTATTATATAGCAAGGGCGACCAGCTCTTTATCTAAATCTTAACATAATGCATATTTAATCGGCAGACTTTATGATGTAATGGCAGCAACACGTTCTAAAGTTGATCGGCCCATAGTGACAATTGAACACTGTTATCATATCACGGAAAGGGGATTGGTTATTGCGTGTCAGTCATTTCCCAGTGGAACGGAAACAGGAAAATTCGATTTTGTTGGCATTTGATATTCTCGGCAACAGCAATTAGTTCATTATATAAAGATTCTACGTTCACATTGTATGATTAATTATTTATTTCCTGTTCAGTTTGGGTGCAAGACCTGGTAAATTCTTCAACGCCGCCAAATTCCCAGCAAACGAGTAAAATTTGAAAGTTATGACTTCTCCATCTTCCGGGAAAACTTCATGAATTCCTGAAATAAATCATAATTTATGTTTATTTCACAACATTAAAAAACAATAAAGCATTAGGAACATAATTGCGCGAAGGGTACGCAAAGGCCATATGTTCATTTTAATAATTCATAGAAAAACAATCAATTTCTAAATAAAGACGCATGACCAAGCCACATCTGTGACTGACCACAATCCTCGCTGTGCCCAATTATCTAACCCACGTGCAGTGGTGGTGGGGGGGGGGGGCACGAGGATGGACAGGCGATCCTACTTCATGTCATCGGCATCGAAACAACATCACTTAACTCATTGTCAGACCTTATGATCGAAAGAGCCCCTATACCATTCGCCCCCCCCCCTCCGAATACCATTTATACCTTTACTAATCTGATTGTTTCTTTTATCTGAAGGAACCCAGCCAGAATAGTCCGCTTCTCTGCCTTCTAAACCATTTATAGACGAAACAAATTCACCATAATTGTCGACTTTTCTGGTCTTAAAACTGTTCCCGTAAATATAAAAAAAAGGATCACATAAATTTAACCACAATACGAATCAATATTTTATTCTTCATTCATCTGCAGTTAACTAGTTTAGAGAATTATTGCTATGAAATATGTTTCTTAATCACATAGAATATAGTCACACTATGGGTGGCTATTTCTCCACTTCAGATTAACCTTTGCATTTTTAAAATGACACGGAGCCGTGGTGGCTAGGGGAGTAAGAAAGATATTGGCTCGCTAAGCTGGGTATCTGCTGTTCAATCCCTGTGTTGACCGATAAAGTTAATCGAGATTTTCCGGCGTGGTTCCCCGTAGTGTGCAGGACGGAGGGCCTGACAAGGGACAAAGTATAATGGTTGGAATTCGATATAAAAGTAAGCTGTAGTTCCGCTGTCCAGGCTAAAGTTCATTCATAGCACACTAGTGGCGTATGCCCGTCATCATTAGCTCAGTCCGAGCAGAACGGTGCAGTGGGACGTTAAACTCCAATCTAAAATGATAGAAATATTGAATTAAAGGGAGATAATCGCGCGCGATTAAAACCTATCATATCAGGATTCAGACTAGTAATTCATGTATATTTACTCCCAGATTCGTCTGCATTGACAATCATGTCATGAATATTCACCAAACCCTGGGAGAAAATGTAGGTTCAAACTCTCTTCTTCGATTCTTGATGAAAAAGTTAAAAAAAAAAAGAGAAAAAACAATATGCGTAAAAAGTTGGAAAAGACAGAATTACTAAAAATAGACGAAGTTAATAGTATTAATCCATGTAAATATTTTACCTAAATCTTTTATCTTTACCGGCAGCCATTAATAAAAAGTTATATAATGGTTGTCGTGGAGCTTGGATATTAGTCTCAATTAGAAATATTGGTTGTATAGCCAGATTCTCCGCTTTAATAGTTACATTTACATTGGCTGTATAACACTTCTTACTACCTGCAATATACAAAATATTTATAATCCTTGTGAGGCATTTAGCATTTGATCTATGATATAATACTAGAACACCTATTATGGATACAATCACTTGGTTAATTATATTGCAACGTTACAGCCAGATTTCACAAGTCGTTTTCAAGCAAATACCTAATGTACAAATGAGATATATCATGGGTGAAATATACATATATATGTACAATCAACAATATCGTTAATTAATGAGCTGAATAGACAGGTGACAAAGATTACGTTAAAGTCTTTATAGGAATATAAGTACTGGATATAATATTGGATCGAACTAATAAATTAATCTTTCAATAAATGATATAAAATGGAGTTTAACGTCCTACTTTTCTGCACCGACTGGGCTAATGAAGACAGGTATCTTCTATTCTATAGACACTGTCATGTCATTTTACATAAGGTAAAGTGTTTGTTATTTATTTCCTAGTATTTCTACCTTAATTATTGAGTAGGCTTATGGAATTAATGCCGATTCGGACTGTTGGAATTCATCTGCAGAAATCCACTCCAAGACCAATTTATGTATAGGACCTGGGACATGAGCGCAAAACGTTTAGGGTCGATGATTTGCTGAAAAATAATAGGGTCGGTCGGTAACTATAAACACAAGTTTATGTTGTGGCCTTACATGTATGTTGTAAGAACATTATTACATCATACATTATGGTTGTTTATTTAATGAACTGATTATTGTGATATTAGAAAACAGCTGGTCGGTAGTCGTTAGAAACTGGCGTCCATTGGGGGTTAAATTAAGGTAGTGTACTAAGCTCGAATAGTAATAAATTGTTTTTGAATATTTAAACTTCTTTTTTATTATAAATTGAATTTTTAGGAACTTCTTTTTATTATAAATTGTATTTTACTTTGTTATTGTTAAGCGCATCTGAACACTTTGGTGAAAGATGCGCTATATAAATGTATTAAATAATAATAATAATAATCAACTAGTTATGGACAAATTCAAAATATTTGAGTGATTTAAAAATCTGTCCGGCAAACTTTCCGCACAATTAACCCTTCTTCTAACCCTAATCCCCATTCGTTGAAGCGTGGAATATTGGGGTTTTATTAATGGGGGAATAATCCTGGTATATCGTCGAAATATAAGAAGGTCAATAACTCAAGTTTTAGCTTGGGAACATGAATAATCATATTCACCGCACCAAATTCATTAAAGTGATGTTCCTAACTTTTACTAAGACATGCTCCTCGATATTTAAGGAAGGTCTTTTCCTGGAGATTTGACCAGTCTAGAACAAATCCTGATAGCAAAATATTTTCTGTTAGTTGTGTAATGTAGTCACTGAATCGTTTGTTTTTATTTAAAGAAGTTTATATAATCAGTGACGCAAGCAGCTTGGGTGGTGCTTGAGTCCCCCACCCATCCCATAAACAATACTTAACAAACTTCCTTAAACTTTTAAACATTATGTCGGTCCTGGGTTGACCGCCCACCAGGGGCGCCTGAACGGCGCGAGGGCCATGGTACCAAAAGATGGAGGGGGGGGGGGTCTCTCCCCCGGCATCTAGAAAATTTTGAAATTTGTCAATTCCGAGAACGCAGTTTAGAGCGCCTCTAGCATTCCAAATTCCAACATAAAACCCCTTTAAAATACATGATAATGAAAGAGACAAAAGCCTGATTATTCACAATTTTCGTATCATGAGCTATTCATCTCATAAAAAATTATTTTTAATTTGACACTCAATACACCAATCTTCATCAAGAAAATAGAATAAGCTTTTTGAACGAGACAGTAGATTTAGAGACACGATTCTTATCTATCATTTAGAAATGAATAGATTAGTAAAAAGGTTGAAAACTTTCATCATTAGGGCATGGGTATACATGTATACCCCAGAAAAGGGCAGAGAACCATTTGTATACCCTGGTACCCGCGTTCCGGCGCCCCTGTCGCCCACCCCACGCTAGCAGCTAGGCAAGTGTATATAATATCAAATTATTTGTAAAAAATCAATATAAAGGATGATAACTGTACCAGTTTTAGGTCGGAAACCACAATTTACAACATTTTCATAATTACACATTGCAATACTAGCATCAAACATTAGACCGCTGGCACATCGAACACGACGTCTTACTCGACCTTGTAAACAGATTAGAAAATCTTGACATGAAGTCATATTTGGTACCAATCCATCATCAACTGAACACTCCCCATCCATTGGTGCTAGAGATAAGTCACATTTAGCTGAAAATAGAAGACCATAATATTAAATATGAAATTTAGAATAGCCAGGCAAAATCTTGATCGGTCTTCAGTCTACTGAAATATGAGGTATCTCATGATATTGTACTAGTAGGATCGGGTTTTGTTGTATGATAAATAGAGAGAGGGTAAATGGGGTTCAACGTCCACTCGACGCAAACTAGGTCCATTTCGGGACTAACATATGGTTCAATTTTATTTTAATAATTCGCTTGAGCGTAGGGGTCTTTACCAGTGGGAGGAAACCGGAGGACCCGGAGAAAACCCGCGAGGATGGACAAGCGACCTACTCCTTGTCACATACAAGCGGCGAATCGAAACCACACCAGTTGACTCAATGACAAACCTTACGATACAACACACACGCGCTAACCATTCGGTCATTCAACTTCCCGGTATGATAAATAATACAGGATTTAAAAATAGGGCAAAATATTCAGAAATTTAAATGCCACGAAGGGTTATGAATTTACTAAACGCGGGAGATAATTTTTCTATAGTGTATAAGACACCATCCGTTAACTTACTTTCTAAACCCTCTAATTTCTTAAAATCAAAGATAGTGTATTGGGGCCCTATTGTTTCGCACCGACCGGTCTATAATAAAGAAGGCGATGAAATGAAATGGGTCCCTATTGTTCTGCACCGACCGGGCTAATGAAGATGGAATCAAACATGTATGAACACGAAAGTCGAAAAGTAGAACTCATGACAAAATGTAAAGCGACAGCGCGCACACCAAGCAAAACTCGACTCGAAAATTAGAAATTAATAAATAGATTGATTTTGCTGGCCTAAACCTCTGCGCTACGATTGAAGAAGTAACACACATAGGTCGTCTGTGACGTTCGCTGGATGATGGGACCGACGATAGTCGAGCGGCCGGGGTACTGGATTATTGACTAAAATGTCCTGGGTTCGAAACCCGGCGTGATCCTAGAGGAACCTTTGAGGTTTCTTTGCAATCCTTGCCCCACTTGTCAAGGAAATGAACTGAAATGAATCCTTAGACGGGGCTTACCGGGTAAGTATGGATTAGTTTCTCTGTTTAGACGAAAAACATGGGATCACTTATATACAAACTAGTGTGTATGTAATAACCGAGGACAAATTCTTCAGTCGAGTATTGCTCACGTCATAGTAAAAATACACAACCGTATACTAGTCTCAAAATGATCAAGATATTAAATTAACGAGACGGTAACCCAATTCTTTCAACAGCTGGTGGGAAAAAACAGAATTTCCAGTCTACGAAATGACCCTGGTTGTGTTAAATACACGCACCCCGCAAATACCACCTCGGTGGAAGCGGACGTAAAATACAACTAACTCATCATCAAATACCCAAATGTCCAAAATATGAACAGCAGTATACAAGACATAAAAACAACGACAGCTGTATGTTAAATAATGATATAAATATATTATAAATTCTATAAATGTACAATTTATACAATATGAATAATCAAACTACCATTGATTCACGAACAAAGCCATATACATACGACATTCACACATATATAGACAATTGGTATTGATAACAACGATGACGTATTAATTATTTATCTCTTTATCACAGTTGATGTAATCGTTTGTTAACACTTTCTTTTGTTTACCACTGATAATGCGAAAATTGCGAAATATTAACTTTTTGTCACAAAGTTGATAAAAGGATATCATTCATTTTGGATTTTATTAGAACTTTAGTAAAAACAAAAACGTCATTTTTTGTTATTTCTCAGTTCGTTTGTCTTTCACAAGAGATTTAACAGCCGGAGATTACCGATCACACGCAGTCACTACACGTTTAATTAAATTAATCTTGAACATCAACTATTAAAGGTGCTGTATACTGACTGTGGCGGATTCCAAACGAATATTCGGGTTTCTTGTTTTTGTGAGCCCATGTGTCCTGTGGAGAGTGAGCGCCGGGACCGGGTTTCTGGGTGGCATCGCCTGGCATGGTGTTTCGGCAAGTCATACTGTATAATGGTGCCTTTGATTTGAAGGTACTGGGGTCTGTTGTCTTGTACGTTCCTGGTCCTGGGGCTTTGGCCAAATCTTCAGAGAAGCCCCCGGTCCTTTGGCGACCTGACAGACTGAATTTGGGGGCTTGACGTTTGCCACTCTGAACGGTGCTGCCGGTCATTCCTGGAAGACTATAGCTATTGGCAGCTGGAACGTTGTCACTTCTCCTGTATCTTGGTCGACTACCGAAACTGTGGGAAGGATGGGTGTAGCTGGCCGAAGGTCCTGAGTGTTCAGGCTGATAAGATCCTGGGCCAGGGGTTCTGAACATAGTTCCATCTTGGTTCCGACTGTACAAAGAATAATGAGGAGTCCCGTCTTTTCCTCCTCTGGAGATTTTAGGATCTGGATAATAACAGGGTCCTGGACTGCAGTCATCCCAGAATTTACCGTGGCGTACACCAAAAGAGTAAGCTGGCGTCTTTGTGTGTGAACTTCTTGGATCGTGACTGGTTTGACCCGTCAGGGCAGGTAATCCATAACACGGCCCAGGACTGTTGTACATGGCCGCAATCGGCGCTCGGGGTTTGGTATATTCGTAAACCATCTTGAAAACTTTCACACAAAATTATACCAAGAAGCCCCTTCACTTACGAGAGCTGAAGTTGTAAGTCCAATGGTTTGCGCTGTAATGACCAACTACCAACGCTTTCGGATTTTATACGCCGTACATAATGTTAATCTCGACTACTGTTGTAAGGTACCTATGGACGCGATTACCTTAGCAACCCCAAGCATAACACGTGATTAACTATTGGTGTCCTTATCTACATGGTATTAAATAATAAACAGGATTAAATGATTAATTAGCTAACTGTATGTTACTACATGTTTGTCGATTTAATTAGGGTTATGGCAATCAAATGTCAGTTAAAGCCTTATGTAATGTGATTAGTCCGCACTTGTTTATTGTTCGTGGGTCAATAATTACTGACTGGATCTACGGGGGAACTTATGTAATGGGGATAATGGGAAGAAGAGGGTGGGGGATGTACCCTCTATGCAAAATCATTAGGTATTTCGAAATTTGGAAATGTCGTTACGGGAGCCCCAGTGGCTCAGTGAGTTCATAACACATTATCCCGGTTGATGCAGAATAGTATGACGTTAAACCCGATTTCATTTCACTATCAAAACACATAGAAGTATATTAGTTATGATAGTCAGATTTAGCTCTAGGTTATCGACCCAGCATTAACTGTAAATATTCTTTGTATTTAATATCTTGATTCTCGATACGTTTAAAAACAATTAATTTACTAAACCTCATCGAGTAAGAAAGAATAGGAGAATAATCTTTGAAAGCATGAATGATGCACTTACTTATAAACTTGTCTATACGTGCTTTTGCTTATCATATTCAGAGATACTCTAGTGACTTTATAACAAATGATTATCGAATTCTAGGACTAAAATTCCCCCCCCCCCCAAAAAAAAAATAAATAAATAAAAACAGTTTCAGGGGCTTGACCAGTTGTGTGGCTTATAGCCCCACCAGGGTGGTTGAGTCGGTACTAGGCTACCATAGAGAACCTGTTACCAAGTTTTATTTCTTGGGAAGTTTACAAAAAATAGCCATGTTATATTTTTATATTTAACCGACGTGGCTTCATTGTCCCGAAATTATCGTTTGCCGTGTAGCCTCGGCTTCTGAAATCCAAGACTCTTGCTATAATTAGTGATAAGTGTATTACACGGATCAGGGTATGGCCAAGATCACTTCCCGTGTTACGTTTTTAGATCGGGGTATAACTGAATTAGATATATCCGTTTGAAATAAAGCTTACCGCTGAGAACGAAATAGGGTTTAAAGTCTCGTCAACACAAGTGAAGTGAAATGGCCTACTGTTTTGCTCCGAACTTGGACAATGAAGACGGGCATACGCCATACAGTGTGCTATGAGGGAAATTTTGCCCGGACAGCGGCACTACGGCATACTCTGTCAAGGGATCTTTTACGTGCACGCCAATGTGTACACGGGACCTCGGTTTTTCGTCCCATCCGAACAACTAGACAGCTGTCCTTGTCAGGCCATCCGCCCTGCATCACTGATAAGGGAGAACCACGCCGGAAAATCTGGATGAACTTTCTCAGCCAATGCAGGGATCGAACAACCGACCTCCAGGCTAGCGAGCCAGCGTCTTACCTACTTAGCCACCGTGATACCCCTCGTCAACACAATACTTTGGTCATTTAAATTATGAATTAACATACGGTTTTTTTTTTATTTCTATTGGTATGTATACAATGTCAGGGGCAAATTTTTCCTTGACCTGTGTTTCGGCCTACCCCTTTCTGAATTTCATATTTTACGGACGTGCCAGTCAGTACAAAGCTGTAAATCTATATTTTGCCGTATGCAAACGAAACACTTGTTTTGAATCGCAGTTAGTGGAATTATTTCCCATTTGAAACTCGCCTTCTGAAAGTTACGACAGAGAAATGTTGATTAGTAGGACGGTTCACGGATTAAGCGGATGATCGTAAAATTTGAATGCACAACTTTCAAGTAAATGTAGGTATCCAAATCTCGTGAACGAGATACATGACTCACAGTATCGACGGCGGGACTCAGAGCTAGTAAGCAGCCTTCCCTCAACCAATCTGATTAAAACACAGATCGTATTTCGTTTTATTTTTTGTAGTTCAAAATTTTGTTTTACTTGTCTTCACAACGGTAGTAGTGCAGGCCATCGAAGGTATAAAAAAAAACGAAGCGAAATATAGATCTCTATTTTAATCAAATTGTCCCGCACCTATCCCATCCCACACCTTCCGCCATCAGCACTAAAAGCTACACGATTTGATTTTATCAAAACTTCGAACAATCATAACTTCCCTCACAATAAAATAATGTCTGAAAATTTCAATATATTCATTTTTTATTATCTATTTTTGAACTATTAAAACAAGAACGGTTAACCCGTTATCTAAATCTTACTAAATGCATCTATAACCCTGGCTTTGGACCACGGTGAATCGGTGAATAATAAGTTGGGTGGGGTCGATCCAGGTGTCTGCCGAGAATGTTTTTCAGGTATATCTAGTCTGCATCCACCCCATGAGTGTTATTTCATGCATAGCGGCCCCTTTCCACGAACCACCCCTCACTTGTCAGGCGTGGTTCCTATGAGGTAAACATGGCATTGTACCTAGTCGTCCGGATGGGACCATAAAAGAAGCCTTGTATAGTTAGACTTACAAGAAGAGATGGCAAAATTGGTGCAAGAGAAAAGTGGGACATTAAACCCCATTTCATTTCTATTTCATTTAATATCATATAATTCACAAAAGCTTCCATTGACAATTAAAACAGTCGATATTTTATTATTCAAATCATAAAATGTAAAAATTAATAAATAATAAATTACATAGTTAATTATGGGGAAAGATATACCCTTCTCCCTTTTTAAAAAATAAATAAAAATCCTACAGGTTGTCTTCTCAATAGTCTTTATGGATATTGATATCAAGCATCCAGTAGGCAATGTTTATCATAAACAGAAAAACGTGAATTTAATCATGAATTTTTAACAAATGGAAAGGTGGTTTGATTCGGGCGTATTCCGAATTAAAACCCAGAGTCTTCTTTTTTATGAATAAACACATTCCTTGATGAGAAGACCCACAGCCATGGCACCGCCTCTTGACTGTCACCCATGGATGTGGCCTGTTTGTAAAAAATAAAGTGTGTCCAAAGCACGTGAGTAATTCAATTAATCTTGAACATCAACAATTAAAGGTGCCGTATACTGACTGTGGCGGATTCCAAACGAATATTCTGGTTTCTTGTTTTTGTGGGCCCATGTGTCCTGTGGAGAGTGAGCGCCGGGACCGGGTTTCTGGGTGGCATCGCCTGGCATGGTGTTTCGGCAGGTCATACTGTATAATGGTGCCTTTGATTTGAAGGTGCTGGGGTCTGTTGTGTTGTAAGTTCCTGGTCCTGGGGCTTTGGCCAAATCTTCAGAGAAGCCCCCAGTCCTTTGGCGACCTGACAGGCTGAATTTGGGAGCTTGGCGTTTGCCACTCTGAACGGTGCTGCCGGTCATTCCTGGGAGACTATAGCTATTGGCAGCTGGAACGTTGTCACTTCTCCGGTATCTTGGTCGACTACCGAAACTGTGGGAAGGATGGGTGTAGCTGGCTGAAGGTCCTGAGTGTTCAGGCTGATAAGATCCTGGGCCAGGGGTTTTAAACATAGTTCCATCTTGGTTACGACTGTACAAGGAATAGTGAGGAGTCCCGTCTTTTCCTCCTCTGGAAATTTTAGGATCTGGATAATAACAGGGTCCTGGACTGCAGTCATCCCAGAATTTACCGTGGCGTACACCAAAAGAGTAAGCTGGCGTCTTTGTGTGTGAACTTCTTGGATCGTGACTTGTCTGACCCGTCAGGGCAGGTAATCCATAGCAAGGTCCAGGACTGTTGTACATGGCCGCAATCGGCGCTCGGGGTTTGGTATATTCATAAACCATCTTGAAAACTTTCACACAAAATTATACCGGGAAATCCTTAACTTACGAGAGCTGAAGTTGACAGTCCAGTGGCTTGAGCGGTAATGACCACCTATCAACATTATCGTATTTTATAAGCTGGTCATAATGTTAATCTTGATTACCGTTGCAAGGTACCCATGGACGCGATTCCCCTAGCAACACCATACACCACGTGACAGATTAACCCCTGTGGAGTTATCAATATAATTTGAAATAATGACCCGAGTTTGCTGATTTAATTAGGCTTAAGGTTTTATCTAGTTAAAAACAAAACAAACACAAAACAAAACGAAAAAAACAACAAAAAAAGAACGACCGAATCCCTTATAATTTCAAGGAATAGATTCATGTGCGAAATATCCATCCCACGCAATTGAATAGTAACGAAGTGTCATAAACTAAAATCAACTGAATAGCAATGAAGACGTAAGAAGTGTCATAGACTATTTAAAATACCCCAAAGATGAAAATTCAAACTAACATTTGAAATCGATTATGGTCTTTACTTAAAATAATTTGATTAATTCGAGTTGGCCGAGTCAAACCTATCATTTTAGGGTAAGACCAGAGGCCGGTTGCTCAACTAAGTTATTTTAACAATCCGTTAAACACTAACGGATCGTTATCTTGCTAACGTACCGTTTGTTAACGGTCCGTTAAATTTCTATTGTTGGAAAGTCAATTTCATTATACGTTAATCCAAGATAAGAAAATGAAGACAGTGGGCCAACTGTGCAGCCTGTTCACAATGATAACTACAATTTACTACAAAAACACTTTTAAAAAAAAATGTAGAATACTTTATATTTTCCTTTAGAAATATTAGCATAAGTCTGTTGGAAAAATTATGGGATTTGAATACAGAAATTGGTAGAATATTTGGGGCCATTATTTCCTACAGCCCCCCCCCCCCGCCCCAATTCTGTAGAATACTATAGAATTTCATACTAAAGATTACATTTTGTAAAGGGTATACTTCGACTGACGGCAGACTTTGCCATCGTTAAACAGATAACGGAGCCCATATTAAAATTAACGGGGCTTCCAGCAACAGACTTTCTTTCCATTAAAGTTAACGGAGCTTTGAGCATCAGCCCCCATGTCATCTTTTCTAATATGGGGTTCCATGTTTAGCTCATCAATTCATTGATCAATGATGTTGTCTATTTTTATTTTAATGACGGATTGACGGATGGGTAAACAGTCAACCCTCAACATAAACTATATCATTTCGGGACTAACATTTGATACAATTTATATCATTAATTCGCAGAGAAAACCCACGAAGTTAATCAGACGACGCTACTCCTTGTCACATACAAGTGTGGGATCGAAACCACACCACTTTACTCAATTACAGACCTTATGTTCTACAGTGCACGTAGTCATCATTCGACCCCCGCCCCATCCCCGTTAAAGAAGAAAAAGGCCCGCAGTCAAAAAAAACAACAAAACAAAACGAATAAAGACAAAACCATCGTAGTGTACATCACAATATGTCCTGATTGGTTTTGTTTCCCTACTATCTTCTATTGTCATTCATCCACTTTCGTTTAAATTTATTTAGGGCGGCGCTGGGGGCGGACGGCATGGGGCCAGGGGCGGATTGGGCCATCGGGCGAAAAAAATAATTTTGTCCAATTCGTCTAAAACAAACTCTTTTCTGCTGAACATTATATGGGGGGGGGGGGGGGGGGTATTGGACCGGCCATGAAGCGATGATGAACTTGTTGTATGTGGCCGGTGGCTTTAACGGACCGCCACGCCATCACTGGAGTCTGGAATGGGCTGGTATACTAGACTTTCTGGGCCGGGTGTGCTGGGTGTGGGCTGGAATTCGGAATCCTGCATAATATGACGATATGATGATTTCACAGGTTGATGGTTGTAAATTACTTGCAGGTCGGGGTTTTGGCCTAAATTAATCGATTTATGAGATATACTATTTGACAGCGATTATAATCAGATATGCCACCAAATTGCATATTTTGGGTTGATTTTTCAAAAGTTTCCCGGCGGAAAGCCCCCGGACCCCCCGTCCAGGCTCCGCGGTCAGTAAAAGGGGCCGCTCCGACACGGGAGCCCGGGCCGGTTTCCGGCCCCAATCCGCCCCTGCATGGGGCGTGCGAGTTAGGTGGCTCTTTAGATCTGGATGTCTGTTAATGCGACAAGTGGCGTGTATTTTTTAAGGTGACAAGGAGCGGGTTCGCCAGCCTAACCTCATGGTTTTTCTCCGGGTTTCGTCCCACTCAAAAAGACCCGTACGTATAAGCAATAAAAATGTATATGTTAATCCCGAAATGACCTAGTTTGTATTGAGTGAACGTTACTCTCTCTATCTCTCTCTCTCTCATTTGCAGATGTACGTTAGCCATGCGAACTTGTCAAATATATAAACTTGAGGTAGTATCAGGTGTTTTGTTTTTGAGAGTATACCCTGTCTCGTGTACGACATTCGCCATTACTCACTACTCAGTTTCGCCCTGGTCTATATTCATTATGATTATTTATTTCTTCTTCGTCAATTCGACCTTAATGTTACAACCCAGGCCTTCCATATCTTCGCTATGGACAATCGGCACCCGTTCTCAGGATATCGATATTTGTATATTTGTTTACTTTTGATCAACAAAATACACAAAACGCTTCTCAGGGGCGTGTCCAGGAATTTGAGCAGCGGAGGGCCCAAGGTGGAGATAACGTCCGTCTGATAAAATCAGAAGCTTTGAGACAACATTTCTTCTAATTTAGGTGTATACATGTATAGGATTACAGTGGAGTGAGCCAAAACGGCGTTATTTCCATGAATGTAGGGGAGAGAAAATATTCTCTGCGCCAACAGAGGGCGGGGCTCCTGACCCCCCCACCCCTTCCCCCGGACACGCGCCTGCTTCTCGTATTTTTTAAAAAAAAAAAAATACTAGTTAGACTTGCTTCATAACTAATTTTTACTCAAATATAGTTGTGGTGGAGGGAGAGTCGGAAACATGAGCGCGCAAACATGAGCGTGTTGGGTGGGTGGGGGGGCTGATTCCATTTCAATAATTCGCTTACGCGTATAAAAGTCTATAGCAGTGTGTGTGTGGGGGGGGGGGCGAGTGGGGGCGTTTGTCTGCAATATCACTTTTGTGGAAACAGACGTTAAAGAACCAAGATAGCAGTAGTAGAAGGGGGAAAACCGTAACCGGATCCGGATGACGCTACTGCTTGTCTTGTGATCTAAACCCAATAGAGAAACAAAAGCTTATTTATAAAATAATGATATAAATATATTTTTGATATTTACAATCTATACAGTAAACATTAGATTAAGAAGACTTGTTTTGATAATTACAACATTTGATTAATTAATTATTCATTGTTTACCAATTACATCACATTGATATTTACATATGTATCAAAAATGAAACGAAAACATACGAAATAATACATAATATAAAAGTTACATAAAACGAATGATGAGTCCTTATTCTACAACAACAACTATGGCGTATTCCGAATGGAAATTCCGGTTTCTTTTCTTTATGCAGGCGCCAGTACCGGGTTTCTGGGTGGTATCTTCCTGGCATTCTCAGGCTTAAGTTAAGAATTTACTCAACTTTTAATCACCGTTTATGAGAAATATATTTAATCAAGAAACACAAAACTTTGCCCATAGTTTCTTGTTGATGTATTTGATACATTAAAATAACAAAGGTTTTATAAAGGGCTATATTTTAGTTACAATAGGGCGAACAATTTGGAGTAAATTCTTAACTTTAGTCTGAGAAAGCTTTGTGAACTAGGGGCTTGGTGTCGCGGTTCGGTTGGTCAAACTGTATAATGACACCTTTGATTTGAAGGTACTAGGTTAGATTGTATTGTACGTCTTTTGCCGAACTAACAGACAGAACTTAGGAGCTTGGCGTTTAACACTCTGAACAGTGTTCCCGGTCATTCCTGGAAGAGTATAGGTATCGGCAGCAGGAACGTTGTCGGTTCTCCTGTATTTTGGTCGACTACCAAAATTGTAAGATGGATGATTAACGTGGACTGGTGGCCCCGAATTTTCCGACACCGGGTGTTCGAAACATAGTTGTCGTGGACTGTACAAGGAATAGCGTGGAGTTCCATCTTTACCTGCTCTGGAAATCTTAGAATCTGGATAATAACAGGGCCCTGGGCTGCAATCATCTCGGAATTTACCATGACATACACCAAATGAATAAGCTGGCTTCTTTATATGAGAACTTGTTGGATCTCGGGTACTTTGGCCTACGAGCGATGTTAAACCATTAATTTAAGGGAAAGATAATTTCTTCTCCTTTTAAAAATAAATAGAGTTCCGACAGATTGTCTTCTCAAAAGTCTTTATGGATGATGATGCCATGCATCCAGTAGGCAATGTTTATCACAAACAGAAAAACATGAATTTAATCCTGAATTTTAACAACAAGTGGCAAGGTGGTCTAATTCGGGCATATTCCGAATTAAAACTCAGAGTATTCTTTTTTATGAATGAACACAATCTTTGGTGAGAAGACACATAGTCATGGCACCCATGTGACCGTTTGTAAAAAAAAAATAAAGTTCAATGTCCAAAGCACACATTAATTAAATTAATCTTGAACATCAACAATTAAAGGTGCTGTATACTGGCTGTGGCGGATTCCAAAAGAATATTCGGGTTTCTTGTTTTTGTGGGCCCATGTGTCCTGTGGAGAGTGAGCACCGGGACCGGGTTTCTGTGTGGCATCACCTGGCATGGTGTTTCGGGACGTCATACTGTATAATGGTGCCTTGGATTTGAAGGTGCTAGGGTCTGTTGTGTTGTAAGTTCCTGGTCCTGGGGCTTTGGCCAAATCTTCAGAGAAACCTCCCGTCCTTTGGCGACCTGAAAGACTGAATTTAGGAGCTTGACGTTTGCCACTCTGAACGGTGCTGCCGGTCATTCCTGGGAGACTATAGCTATTGGCAGCTGGAACATTGTCACTTCTCCTGTATCTTGGTCGACTACCGAAACTGTGGGAAGGATGGGTGTAACTGGCCGAAGGTCCTGAGTGTTCAGGCTGATAAGCCCCTGGACCTGGTGTTTTAAACATAGTTCCATCTTGGTTACGACTGTACAAAGAATAATGAGGAGTCCCGTCTTTTCCTCCTCTGGAGATTTTAGGATCTGGATAATAACAAGGTCCTGGACTGCAGTCATCCGAGAATTTACCGTGGCGTACACCAAAAGAGTAAGCTGGCTTCTTTGTGTGTGAACTTCTTGGATCGTGACTTGTTTGACCCGTCAGGGCAGGTAATCCATAACACGGCCCAGGACTGTTGTACATGGCCGCAATCGGCGCTCGGGGTTTGGTATATTCATAAACCATCTTGAAAACTTTCACACAAAATTATAATAAGAGATCCTTTCACTTATGAGAGTTGAAGTTGTATGTCCAATGGTTTGCGCTGTAATGACTTAATATCAACGCTTTCGGATTTTATACGGCGGACATTATGTTAATCTCGACTACCGTTGCAAGGTACCACTGACGCGATTACCCTAGCAACACCATACACCACGTGACAGATTAACCCCCGTGGAGTTTGCTGATTTAATTAGATTTAAGGTATTATCTGGTTTGCTGATTTAATTGGGTTTAAAGTTTTATCTGGTTAAAAAAAAACACCCCAAAACACCAAATCCCTTATAATTTCAAGAAATAGTTTCATGTGCGAAATATCCATCCCACGCTAAATACTATTGAATAGTAATGAAGTGTCACTCATAGACGAAACTCAACTGAATAGCGACGAAGACGTAAGAAATTTCATAGACTATTTAAAATAATCTCTCCGTTGATTTTTATGATCCAAAGATGAAAAATCAAACTATCATTTAAAATCGATTATGGTCTTTACTTAAAATAATTTGATTAATTTTGGTCTAATATGGTTTTCTTATTTAGCTCCACAATTCAATAATCAATCCCGTTTTCTATTTTGATATTAATGACGGATTGGCGTATGGGTAAACAATCACCCCTCAACATAAACTATATCATTTCGGGACTAACATATGATACAACCTTACTCCTTGTCACATGTACAAGTGTGGGATTGAAACCACGTCGACCCCCCCCCCCCCCGCCGCCCCTCTCCTTAAAAGAAGAAAAAGACGCGCAGTCAAAAAACCAAAACATTGTATTTTGTATATCAAGCTATCACAATATGCCCTGATTGGGTTTGTTTCCCTACTATCTTCTATTGTCGTTGTCATTGATCCACTTTTCGATTAAATTGCTTTAACGCATATAAACCCATAGGAAGGGCGGCGCTGTGAGAAGGGGTGGGGGCATGGGGCGTGCGAGATAGGTGGCTCTTTAGATCTGAATGTTTGTTAATGAGACAAGTGGCGTGTATTTTTAAGGTGACAAGGAGCGGGTTCGCCAGCCTAACCTCATGGTTTTTCTCCGGGTTTCATCCAAGTCCAAAAGACCCGTACGTACAAGCAATAAAATGTATATGTTAATCCCGAAATGACCTAGTTTGTATTGAGTGAACGTTACTCTCTCTCTCTCATTTGCAGATGTACGTTAGCCATGCGAACTTGTCGTCAAATATATAAACTTGAGGTGGTATCAGGTGTTTTGTTTTTGAGAGTATACCCTGTCTCGTGCTCGACATACGCCATTACTCACCTTGGGCTATATTCATTATGATTATTTATTTTTTCTTCTCGAATTCGAAATTAATGTTACAACCCAGTCCTTCCATATCTTCGCTATATGGACAATCGCCACCCGTTCTCAGGATGTTGATATTTATATGTTTGTTTACTATTGATGAACAAAATACACAAAACCCTTCGCCCATTTTTGACAAAATACTAAATATTAGTCAGACGGTTTGTTTTATAACTAATTTTTACTCGAATAAAATTGTGGTGGAGAGAGAGAGAGAGAGAGAGAGAGGACCCAATTCCCTGCCACGCAAAATCTTGGGATCTAAGTCACACCAAATGACCCAATCGTATGATCTTAAGCGTACACGTTAGCCAACTGGACCACCCAACCCTTAAATTGTGAAGGACGGGCTACTTCCTTAGTAAGAGTCACGTGTTGAAATATCAACAATTTGTAATGGACGAAGTATATGTCCATTCTGTTCAGTTTATTGTATAGTATCAGTGTAAAATAAACGAAATCTAATTATAACCTGTAATGTGAGGGGCAAAATTTGACTAGACACCTGAAAGTGATGGTCACCATATCATGACTGTATTTCATCTACAGTGATCAGAGTTGAGGTAAGTTAACAGTGGAGTGAATCTGAAATGACTGTCAGCACCTACTTTTCTGTACCATTCGAACGGCAAGAAACAATTGTGAGGTTGGTATGGAGGGGTGTGGGGTGTGGGGGTCTGTTGGACGGGGACAACCCTTTTGTCATTTCGTTCAATCCACCCCAATCCCCCAATGACAGCGATCATCCATGCACAACATCACCAACCCTCCCGGAATTTCTATCTTACACGAAATGAATTCGTTTCACTGCCCTCTTTTGCACATATTCCGTAGACATAATAAATGTCTCTAACAACCGTATAGAGAAACAAAGGCTTATTTATAAAATAATGATATAAATATAATATACTTTTGATATTTACAATCTATACACAATGAGTACAAAATGAACAAAACAAAAAACGTTAAACATTAGATTAAGAAGACTTGTTTTGGTAATCACAACAATTGATTAATTAATTATTCATTGTTTACCAATTACATCACAGAGAGCGGCTTTAATACCTTTATGGCTGACTTCTTAATATTTACATATGTATCAAAAATGAAACGAAAACATACGAAATAATACATAATATAAAAGTTACATAACAGGAATGATGAGTCCTTATCTTTTTCCCCACATAATAGTTCCAGTGGATTATTCTAGCTAAATAATTTCTGAACTAAGGTAAGTAACTTCTTTACATGATAATAACACAGAAACAGGTTAAATTATTCTTGAACTCCAGTAATAAGAGGCGTGGTGTATTGACTATGGCGTATTCCGAATGAAAATTCCGGTTTCGTTTCTTTATGTACCCATACATTCTGCGGAGAGTAGGCGCCAGGACCGGGTTTCCTGGTGCTATCTTCTGGTATCGCGTGTCGGCTGGTCATACTGTATAATGGCGCCTTTGACTTGAAGGTACTAGGATCGATTGTATTATATGTCCCTGGTCCTGGGGTCTGCGCCATATCTTCAGCGAAACTTCCTGTCTTTTGCCGATCTGACAGACTGAACTTAGGAGCTTGACGTTTACCACTCTGAACGGTGTTCCCGATCATTCCTGGAAGAGTATAGCAATTAGCAGCTGGAACGTTGTCGGTTCTCCTGTACTTTGGTCGACTACCAAAACTGTAGGATGGATGATTAAAGTGGGTTGATGGCCCAGAATGTTCCGGCTGATAAGATCCTGGACCGGGTGTTCGAAATATAGTTCCATCGTATTGCCGACTGTACAGGGAATAGTGTGGTGTCCCATCTTTACCAGCTCTGCAAATTTTCGGATCTGGATTATAACAGGGTCCTGGACTGCAGTCATCTCGGAATTTACCATGACGTACACCAAATGAATAAGCTGGCTTCTTTATATGAGAACTTCTTGGATCGTGTGCACTTTGGCCTATGAGCGATGGTAAACCATAGCAAGGCCCGGGGCTGTTGTACATGGCTGCGATTGCCGTACGGGGTTTCGTATATTGGTACACCATTATGAGAGACTTGTTCAAACTCTCTTCAGAAGTTCACACAAAAGATCCTTTAAATTGATTAATATTCAACTACCGAGGTTTTAAATCTCACTGCCACAACAACAGTGGCCACAAAATGTATTTATATAACTAACCTCCTTTCCAAATCCTGAGTCCAAGTAAAAACGTTAATCTCGGACTAATGCAACTAAGGGAAACAATAGAGCTATCCCGCTTGGCAACCGCGCGCATGCCTGTGATTAACTAATCGAGGTTTCCATTCCATTATTAAATAGTAAACGGGATTAATTGATTTTGTAGCCTTCTATATACTGGTAGAATATATACTTGGCCATTTCATCTAGTATTTCGGTTATATATAAAGCCGTATTACGTGTTTGTTATTAATGTCTGATAAGCCTACGTGCTAACAAATAACCTTAAAAGTCCGAAAATTTGAAAAAAATATCGCAGTTTTAGAAAAGCGGATTGACTTGATATTACTATATAATATTGTACTGATTAAAAGAAATTAATATTTATTTTCATCTTCGATTCACCGCTCTCGGATAAAAAAAAAGAATAGTCTACAAAAAAAAAAAAACAAATTCAAAGTTCGTGAAACATGTTGTCAATCGAGACATTGCACAGGCTTTTGATTTAACTGTTAAAAATATTTTAAATTTAATAAAATAAAATAAGTTGAGGTAACGATATTAGTTTAATTTTTTTCATAAGACGCGTTTTACGCGACGCGCCATTTTTCATACGATGACGTCGTCGTATTGTTCGAACGTTATTCGCCTCTATCATGGGTAGGCTACTTCTAGTTCTAGTTCTATGGTACTACACAGATTTAGACTAGTCGAGCCTACTATTTAAATATAACAGTGAACTTTAACCCTTTTTTAAACCAAAACTAGATTGGGCAAATTATTAATAACTATTTTTATGATGACTTTGGAAGATAGTCTAAGTTTTTGAGAAGCTCATCCTAATATGGATGATTTTATTAACTAATTTTTAAAATAATTTTTTATTCAGGATATGTGAATGAGATTGGGGAACAGGCTTAGCCCATGTAGAACCCCTCTAGCTAAATAATATACATACATAATATTAATACAAAAGAACAAATGGGTGTATATAGGCCTACATAGTTAAAATGGCAAACAGATACATAAAATGGATGAAAATGTGCGGCATATACATTACAGTTTAAAGTCATACATACTAACTAATACATACGCATTATGAAAACGAACAACATCAATGGAGTACACGCCAAAAGAGCACCCGTCCCAAATAACATCGGAATAATCAGAGTTCGGCGGAAAGAAGGCATTTAGCGATTTTCTATTTAAACGATATTTCAAGAAGCGAGGGCAGTTTACTAATTTTTATACTTTACTAATATTATTCTAATTATGTGGTTCTTCCATTTACAATTCCGAGGTGTTTGTTCAGTTACTCCCTTTATTCTTATCGAGTTCATTATAAGGGGTGTATTCACAATATTGCGTTTAGTTGTGAGGATATAATATCATGTTCACACTTTACATTTTTTTTAAATTGCCATTACAAGGTTGTACTATATTATTTTAATAACATTAAAACTATATATAGGCTAGCGTCAAAGACTTTCGAAGAATCGTCGAGAGAGAGAGAGAGAAATGGGGTTTAACGTCCACTCGACACAAACTAGGTCATTTCGGGACTAACATGTTTTTTTAAAATTTTATTTCAATAATTCGCTTGCGCGTAGGGGTCTTTAGCAGTGGGAGGAAACCGGAGGACCCGGAGAAAACCCACGAGGTTGGACAGGCGACCCTACTCCTTGTCACGTACAACCGGGGATTCGAAACCACGCCAGTCGACTCAATGACAGACTTTATGATACAGCGCGCGCGCGCACGCTAACCATTCAACCATTCAACCATCCAACCCCCCCAAAAGAATCGTCGAGAAATCGTCGAGAAATTAGCCTTAGATGATATTTGGCAATAAACAAACAAATGTAAATGAGGCTATGTAAATAAAGCAGCTTGGAAATAAATAAGAATAAATATTAAATAAAATGAATGAATGACGCCTTAATCCCTGAAATTAAGGAATTTGAATATTATGTTGCGCATGGGCAAGCATTCTTCGGTGAAGTATGGAAGCCTTTTGAGACCATTTCATATTCATTGGGGTCAGTCATGGACAGAGTTGTTTCTCTTATTACCACTTTCCGTCATTTCTATACTCAACATGTTCAAAATGTCGAGGAATTGTAAAACATCTCTACTGATTTATGGCAATTAAACTGACTTAGCATATTTATAAGAATTTGAATTATGTGTTTTTATCGAAATGAATATAATATCTCGAAAGGAACCGAGTGACTGATTTGTAAGGCAAGACCTGTAATTAAGTGTTACGAAACGTCGCTATTAATTAACAGAGAAGTAGTTATATCCACATTTACCTTGTGTTGTGTTTTGTTATGAATAGTTAACCGTACTATTAGATGTCATTTGAAGCAAAGACAATTTTATTCACGATTTTGAAGTAAATAGCGACGAGGTTAGATCCCAGAGAAAAAAATGTCAAGAGAAGAGAGTCTTACCTTTCTCTTTTATTATACATCAGAGTGTATTATTATTATTTTTTTTATTACGAACCTGTTTGATAGTAATAGTATATAATTTAGCACCAAATAGGAAGAAAAATAAAGACGATTAAAAAATTTGAAAAATATGAAGCCCCCCCCCCCAAAAAAAAAAAAAACCACCCCAAAAAACACCAAAAATCCGCGATGTTAAACGTTCTAGACTAGTTTTCACCATGTACACAGTCGTGAGATCAATCATTGTAACGTGATCCACACCGCAGTGTTTTAGATCATCATGCCAACGCTCCCTATATATCCCCTTTAAATGACATATATATATATATATGAGGCAAAATTGACTGTGTTCTATAAGTTTGTACTTACCTTCAAGTAGAAGCATTTGTAACATAATAATCTTCAGTAATATCAGATACGCCATTTTCCTTTACAAAATTGAAGTTGTTTTTTTTTAAATCACAAATAAACACACAGTCTACATATTTTCCAACGCAAAACTTAACATAATAAACTTGTGGCTTTTGTTTAAAAAAGAACCATTCTTCTTGTATTTCGGTTTTCTTGGAAACGTTTGTTTTTAATGGTAAATGCAGTGGATTAGTATGATTGACAAGTGATGTCAAAACACGTGACAAGTTTGAAATCTACGCTAATTTTTTAAAGATAACAAAGTAGCCTGGTCTTTGGCGATTTACTTTCAATCTTCGTGGTTATACGTCAGGTATAGAAAACACCATCATTCTTGACTGGCCACAGTGGTTCACAAATATAGTCTAAGTCTTGTGTCTATATTAAACCACACGAAGAGCAATAAGTTGAACCAGTAAATTTAAACGTAGATAAATAGCCCAAAGTTTACTTTACGCTTCGATCTTGTTTCTGAACCCCTGAAATTGTTTTTATACTTCGTGTTAGCTTTTTGAAAATTGCATCAACTTAATAGTTATATCTTTTGATAGTTGTCATGCATTTGGTAGTGTATGAAGTATAATCCCAAAAGAGTATTATCTTATGGCAATCAGATAATAATTCCAATGATCATTAATTTTAAGCAGAACAATCGATTTTATAAATCACATTAAAATTCTAGCCTACGTATGTCGGGCTAACCTCTATTGAAAAATACCTTCAGCAACCTAAATACATTTCCCTTTCTACTTTTGTTTTCTTAATTCCGTTGAATCATCCTATAACATTTTACACTCTACCGCCACCTATTATACACTGATATATAATTTAGACCTCCTGTAAAAAAAAAGAACTTAGGAATTTTGAAATCCAACGATGCCTGTATGTATAATATAACGACCGTGTACTGTATCTGCTGCAGTCGTCATGTAGATTCTATTATTTACCTAGGAATTGTGTGTTGGTTCAAGCACCTAATATATTTACTCTATCTTCTATTTAATTGTAAGGCTCAGCTACTAATTCTTCGCTTCAAAGTGTCTTCTTAATTGATTGTTAACGTGTTTTGAAGAGACAGTCACCACTGTTAAAAATTGCAGGCCGCGACAGTCGAGCGACACGACACTGGCCCCTTAAGCACAATAGAGACTTTTGGCAAGCGTAAATTCCTGGTCCGTATCGCGTATCCGTAATGATTTTGCGTGTGACGTCATCAATTGGTGTGCATTTCTCATACGTGATACGGCACACGGATACGGCAGCACGTATCGAACAGCTTTAATACGGAAAAAGTCGTCGTCTTTTTTGCTACTCTTAGACGCTGAAATGTTGTGCCGTAGCGTTTTTATGAATCTATATATGTCTATCCTAGAACGAAGGTGTATATTTGATGTGATTTTAACCATGGCAAAGACTGGAATTTAATTATTACTTTGGATGAGATTTTCGCGGAATTTTCATATTTTCCTATCTGTATGCACGCTTGTTGATCTACGTGCTAAATTTAGGGAGGTGGGACCTTGCAAATCTGTAAAAGGGGTATATTTTTAATAAGATTCGACACTATTTTTTTTTTTTTTTTTTTTTAAATAACTCCGCGAAAGTCGAACGACTTTACTCCCTTCAGGAATTTGTAGGCTAGGTACTTGACTAGTACTGATATTGATCTTGGTAGATAACTGCCATCATGCTGTAATAGAACTACGCTCAGCTCAGCTACCCATACGTAGACGGCGCAAAAATCTGCCAAAACTCTAAAACTAAATTAACGCAACGTATCACGTGACGACACGGATACGTTATACGGATGGGAAAAATTCCACTTGCCAAAAGTCTTTAATATCTCGGGTTCGATTCCCGTCTTGAGCAGAGAAGAGTATTCGCTATTTTTCAGGAGTGACTTCGAGTCGTTCGGATGGGATGAATAACCGAAGTCTACTCTACTCTAGAGTACACATTATAGGAAGCACCGCATCCGCACACAATTCTACCACTCGCATTGCACACGTAACAATGAAATTAAAAATTAAATTATTTTAGTCCCAAGTGTTTTATTGACAAGACATTAAACCCCATTTCATGATGTTAAAAATGGGTACAATTAAAACTATAAACAGTGTATAATTTACACCACGGCTTGTGTTTTAAAACGAGAATCACCCACAACTACAAGATCTACACCCAAAAAGACTAAGCCATCATATTCAGGAACAATGAACACCCAAAATGTGGTGTAAATTGTAGACAATACGGGGTGTTTTTAATCATCTACACCACATGAGTGTATACACCTTGAGGTGTAATTTGGGAAAGTTGTCAAAACAGTGTCAATTTTATACCGTGTGCTGGGTTCAAAAAGTGTTTGTGTACATAGATTCGTAGGTTTTTGAATAATAGTATTGGCTTTATTTTCATAATCACTCCAAGTATAGCGCATAGCTTATTATTGAGCGTGTTTTATGTACAACTTAAGTATACTTAATTTAGACGACGTGTATAAACCACATTTAGAGAGTTAGTATACAAGTATTGATCAAGGTATATATTCATTGTATATTTATAAAGATATCTGTAATTGCTGAACATCAGTTAAATTGAAACCTGTCTAGTAGCATCATAGAAAGGATAGTCATTGTAGACTAAGTTAGTTACCCGACGGTGTAGCCTATATGGCGATCTAATCGTAATGTAACAACTATACTATCATTCACGCGTAAAGATGCATTAGATAACGAGCTGATCGTTCTTGCTGTAATAATATTGAAATAGATAATGAAAAATAAATGCATTGGAAATTTCAGACACATTACTTTATTTTGAGCGATATTTGAAGTTTTGACAAGAATAGCGTTGTCTCGATTGTCATTGCTACGATAATAGACGAAGTCTCTATTTTCATTTTAGCGTTAACTGCATGATTAAGTTGATAATGGGCTTGTCATGTTAATGAATGTCTCAATAATAATTTAAATAATATTTGGAGCCAGAAAAAAATCCGCAATAGGCAGATTTAGGTCTTAATACATCTTTAAGTTGATTTCTAGTCTTCTGACTTTAAACGGGTTTTCTAATAATTTTATTAAAGGGCATTAGTGTAATAATAGGGGTACAGATTTTAAATTGTAATTAGGCGTAATAATTAATTTCCAACAACGATTGTGAACTATTTGCATTTACACTATTATGCACCATTTTCAGTGTAACACTTATTGGAATATTTATTATTATATGTGAATAATCCTGGAAATTCCCATTACTGGTTGGAATTGTGTTTTCCAAGTCCAGTATAACAGTTTGTCTTTGTACGTGAGCCAACTCCAAGGGAGGGTTTTTTTTACATAGGCAAAGCCTGTTCCTCAATCCCATTCAGACAACCTGAATAAAAATATTGTTTATAAAAACACCCCAAAACTTCAATCTTTACTCCTCATTGTATTCATAGCTTGACACATAGATGAGTATGGCGCTTGTTGAACAAAAAGGACGTCCCGGGTTTGATCTTGGTGGTGGCTGAAAAAGTTCCTTTTAAATTTCCAGTGAGCCTGGTTTGCCCCGTCGTTATGATGGTATGCAAAACGTTGGGGTGAACATAAAAGAACACATTGTATAGTCCTATTAGTGCAGAAAGTACAATATAAACCCAATTTCCATGATTATTGACCTGGCTAACAATGTTTATTAAAGTCAACCATCCCTTTAATTATACAGTTTTTGATATCGTTTCAGATACATGTAACTATTTTAATTGTTATGTTAAAAGGTGTTCGCCCTCCTTTAATCAACAAAATAATATCTAACTTCAAAGACAGTTTTACTTACGTGTGTACTTACAATGTAATATAGACCGCTGTGTTTTCTGAGAAAGGTTTGCATTTATAAGACATAGGGTCATGATCTGAACTCGAAACTCTGCTTGACGCATCTAATTAAATTTATACAAACAGTTCGTCCCATTTTATTTTTTAAATTGTTTATTCCAATTCATTTTGTACTAACTACATTTCTTATAAGGTGTGGGAGCCGCTGTGGCTGAGTGCATACTGTGCTGGCTCACTGGGAGAAAAAGTACCTCGGATTTTTCAGCGTGTTTTCCCTTGTCAGTGGTGCAGGGCAGACAAGGAACAGTGCCAATAGTCGTGCGGATAGTACACTTTGTCGTGCATGTAAAGAACACTTGACAATTGGAATAGGGGATAAGAATAAGCCATAGCGCTGCAGTCCGGACATATTTCCGTGTTCATTAGCCCGACCAGTTCAGACCAGGTGCGTTCAGATGCGAAGATGGCGATTGGCCGACTCCAGATGAACCTACGAATCATAAATTATCCCTTCCTTGATTTTTTAGAGATTGCCTACACGAGTCCCCAGTCTCGGGTATAAATCTTAACACGTCGGAATATTACCGGAATTTATCGAAGAATGCTGATTAGGAACGTTCTGCATCAAATTTAATAGCATTTACCATCGGACAAATCCTTAATTTGTTTACATGGGTGAAATGAAATGAAATGGGGTTTAACGTCTTACTTTTCTACACCAACCGGGATCATGAAGACGCGTGTATGCCATGCAGTTTGCTATAATTGAACATTTGGCAGGACATGGGCGTTTCCGCCTACTCTCTATCGAATTCCATTGTACATGGATCTTTTACGTGCACACCTACGAGTACATAGGTTTACATAGATCCCATATTCACTTCCTCAAAAATAAGTTTTTATCTCGTGCAAAAACTAAAAAAAACCAAAAAAACAACAACCCGAAAAAAACATCCACGTGAAACAAATAGTTCAAGTCGTTCGCCTAACTTACTTTCTTAAAAGACACAAAGCTTCATTTTAATTTCTTGGGATGTGGATATCACGTACATTGAACATTTCTACCATGTTTTCTTAAACTCAACATTAAACCAAGTTTCATTCATTTAACACACACACTTGTATTACCACAATCTTTTGAGAACACAATGTGCAAAAAATAAAAATAAAAATACTTGAAGCTTTAGATATAAAAAATAATTACTGGAAAAAGATGAAAGGGATTCAAACTAAATTTACTTTTCTTTAAAATTTGACAGTTGGGCGACAGTGGTGGTAGTAGGACAAGTTATTCATTATTGACAGGGCTGTGGGGTTTTGACTGAATCATTAAAATGACGCTGTTTGTTTGAAAGGCTATTCGTCACCAGACACGTAGAGAAAACAACCAAACAAAAATGAAATGGGGTTTAAGGTCCAACTTTATGGCAGCGATCGGATTAATGAAGAAGGACAAGTAAACAGACTGCCGGACTTTCAAATAAGAGAACTACATACATCAACTTTCAAATGAAATGAAATGAAATGGGGTTTAACGTCCTACTGTTCTGCTCCGAACTGGGCTAATGAAGACGGGCATACGCACTACGGCCTACTCTTATATCGAATTCGAACTGTCAAGGGATCTTTTACGTGCACGCCAATGTGTACACGGGACCTCGGTTTTTCGTCACATCCGAACGACTAGACAGCTGTCCTTGCCAGGCCCTCCGTCCTGCATCACTGACAAGGGGGAACCACGCATCAACTTTCAAGGGGCTGCAATCTG